CTCTCTCTGCCTGGACCCCATCCCCAGAGGATCCCCTTGGAGAATCTGGGTAGGGAGAGTCTGGGATTCTATATTTATGGTAAGTTCCCAAGTGATACTGATCTTGCTGCTGGAGGATCTCCCGTAGAGAACCCATGTCCCCACCCCCCAACTTCTACACTTAGCAATTTATAGCCCCCGGCCCAGGGCACTAGGAGGCAAATCTGAGAGTGACCCCACCATCCATCCTTAAAGGTTTCAGAGGAACCTCAACAAGGACGAGATTGGACAGAGGAAAGGTCATACGGAGCTGAGAGGCCCCCTCTTTAGCCTGGTGGACGCGGTGTGATGGCTTCCTGTGAGCTCCTGGGGCTATGGGTGTGGACTGGACCAGTGAGGGCCAGCTCCCCATCCCCACCAGCGAGCCGGTACAAGTGGTAGTGACTTCAGGAGGTTTTATATTTTACAAAAGCATGAAGTACTGGCCTGGCTCCCAGAGCCCCGGGAAGCACAGTCAGGGCGAGGCGCTATTAAGTGCTGTGGGCATCACCCTGGCCTTGATTCAGCACAGTGACCTCATGCACAATGGAACAAAACACTGCCCAGCCCTGTGCCGCCTCCATGACTGGACACGAGTCAGAGTGTCGTGTTTACGTTGGCTGAGCTTTAGGAAGGATTGCCAGGACTTTCTTCCTTGTCTGTCAGTCTGGATGCTCCATTGAAAGTGTGGTCCAGCATTGCAGCGTGCAGCGTCTCCAGACAGATGGGTGGTAGCTGCTCGGGAGTCATACCCAATTGTCCCACTTGGCAGACAAGAATTCTGCCGCTGAATCACAAGTTCAAGGTTGCGTGTTGTCCTCTTGTCGGTTTTGTTTGCTTAGTGCTCTGTTGTATTCCCAGTCTCCTTTGTGGGTCATAAGGGTCATCATGGAGGTTCCGCTGACTCTTTGTCTACTGTGTCTAGTGGGAGTTCCTGTGTATAGGACGCACCATGGGGTTGGAAGTTTGTAGCGGATGTTCTGGCTGTGTCTGAGGTGTCGAAAGTTTGTGTGGCTTATCTTTCAAGCATCTTAGGGAAATCTCCAGCCAGGCTGGTGTCAAGGGTGGCTGTGCCAGCCAGGGTAGAGTTTCGAACTCTGAAGTTGCTCATGTGTAGACTTTGTGCCTGGGTAAATGTTGGCTCACACATCTGCTGGTTCTGCATTAGCCAGATTCTCAGAAGCAAGCCTGATTGTACCACTTCCTGTGCTTCCGAACGTTGTCTCACACATGAGTCATGTAAGAATCCTAAGAGACGCGGAGGCTGGCTTTATAAACGGAAGAGAGCCAATCACTGAAATCACACTGCACTCCTAACTTCCCTTCTCTGTAATTCTAATCTAAATTGAAAATTGATGGTATCTGATCCGCCTTAGGGGTTAGTTAGCCAGCTTGTGTCCAGATAAGAGATTTGGCCTTTTACTTGGTTCATTTGTTTTAGTCTCTTGGTGACAAAAGCCCCATGTCCTCAAATCAAGGGGTATCATTTGTAAGTCTTTTAATGCTGTTAACCTCCGGGCTCAATGGCAAGGCCAAGGGAGTAGGTAGGCCAGGATAGGAACCCGTTTCTTGGGTGGAGGCGGGGTTCCACAGGAGTAGTAAGGCCTTGGGGTGTCATTTTGATGCCTGCCAGTCTGACGGGAACTCCAAGCCCAGGCAGAAAGTTTCATCTAGAGTCTGTGCCCCAGTCTCTCCTTTCTGGAGTTCGGGGTCCTCTTCAAGCTCACGTGGCCGTGGGCAGAATCCAGTTCCTTATGTTTGGTTGTAGGACCCAAGTCCCCAGTTTGGTCTAGGCTGGCAGCTGGGGACAGCTTTTGGTTCCTTGAGGCTTCCCACAGTTCCTTGCCACATGGCCCCCTCACAATGTGACAGGTCCCATCTTCAAGGGCAGCAACAGCATCTCTGGGTGTCTAGCCCACACCATAAGCACCGGGCTAGGTCAGGCCCACCCAGAGGCAGCTGGCTAAGGGCCCTACCTACATCTGCAGCGCTCCGGTCATCTTTGCCATGGGGAAGGGAGCCCTGGTGGTACAGTGGTTAAAACATCTGTATGCTAACTGAAAGGTTGGGTTCAAACCAACTAGCTGCTCCATGCGAAAAGAAATGGCATGGTGCTTTATTTACATGGGGGGCAGGGGTAAAATGAGGAATTACCTTCTAATTTAGGAGCCCTGGTAGCATAGTCAATTGTGCATTGGGCACCTAACCACAAGGTCAGGAGTTCGAATCCACCAGCCACTCCTCAGGAGAAAGATGAGGCTTTCTGTTCCCATAAAGATTTACAGCCTCAGAAACCCTACACAGGGTCTCTCTGAGTTGGGACCACCATGACAGCCTGCAGCCACTACCACCACCATCTCCTCCTCCTCCTAATTTACTTGTTCTATAAATCAATCAATAACTAAATGTTACAGTAATTATTTCATTATTGTAGACTAATTTAATGGTGAGTTAGACTACTTTCTCAAATAATTGATAGTAATATTATAGTAATTAGTTATTGTAGACTAATTAAATGGTAAGTTAGATTAATATAACTTTACCTTCTCAATAATTGATAGTAATATTACAGTAATTATTTAGTTATTGAAGACTAATTTTCATGTCTGTGATAACAAAGAGTCTCTAAGTGTCCCTGAGTTCTAGAGAAAGAAAATTTTGTTATCAGCTATTCTATAGAAATATGTAGCACCAGAACAAATGTGTTTCTTGCCCTTTAATAGTCAGAGCCCTGGTATGGCACTGTAGGATAAACACCGGACTGCTAACCACAAAGTCGGCAGTTCAAACCCAACAGCTGCTCCTTGGAAACCCTATACATGGTCTTTATGAGTCGGAACAGAACCGAACGCACTTAGCGACTAACAGTCAGAGTAGGAGAAAGATGAAACTGTCTGCTCCCATAAAATTGGCGGCAGTCTCAGAGACCCTCTGCAGGTATCTGGGGGTCGGACTTGACTCGATGGCAGGGGGCTGGCTTGGGTTCTGTTGGACTTGACTCGATGGCAGGGGGCTGGCTTGGGTTCTGTTTTTTTATGGACAGGGAACCCCTGAAGCACACTGGCTCCAGCTCTCGGGGGTCAGCAGTTGGAGCCGTCCAGCAGCAGACGTGGCAGGCCTGGAGCAGCTGGTGGGCAGCGCCACACTGTCCTTTCGGGCTACTCTCAGTCAGAATTGATGGAACAGCAGTGGACTGGGTTCATCACAGGGGTGACACCTCATCATAGTCACAGGTCCTGTGTGGATTATGAGGGGGGGTTGTGTGGGGTGTGTACACCAGGGGAGGGAATCTTGGGGGCTTCTTGGAAGTCTGCCCAGCATTCTCCAGCCTCTTCCTTCTCCCAGCCCCTCTCCTCTGTCCCATGTTCCCACTTTTCTATCCCCCCTTTCTCCTTCCACACCTCCCTGTTCTTCCCCTCCTGGTCTGTACCGACACAGACATGGAGCGGGCAGGTCTGGGAGCCATGAGTCCACGTGTGGGCTGGGGAGCAGGCTGCACTCCATGTGAATCTGGTCATTTTGCTCACCCATCCACGGGGTCTGTGAGGAGTCAGAGGGTCAGACCATCTTGCCCCCTTCCCCCCTCCCACGTTTATGGGCCCCAAGTATCCCTTCACGCAGGCAGCATCACCTAGCAAATGGGAAACGACAGCAAGGATTCAAAGCCCTGAGAAACTTGTGATTTTTCCATTGAGCATGGGGCTTGTAGGGGTCATCCCTGACAACCCCCTCCTCCTGTCCTGACCAGGCTGCAGGATGCTGGGGGAGACCGGGGCTGAGGCACTGGTCATCGCATGACACGTGCCCCTAGCATCGTGACAGAAGCCTGCTAGCAGCCTCAGAAGGTCCCAATTTAAGACCTTCCAGGGAATGATGAAGGAATCCCGGTAGCAAAGGGGATTACACGCTGGGCTGCTTACCGCCAGGTCATTAGTTTGAATCTACCAGCCGCTTTCTCTGTGGGAGAAAGGTGAGGCTTCCTGCTCACGTAAAGATTTACAGCCTGGGATATCCTGTACAGGGTCGCTGTGGTCATGGTGAGAAAGGGTTGGACCAGCTGGAAGTGGGGTCAGAGTCTGAGCCACTGGCCCTTTGACCTCTCCAGACCCTGCTTCCTGCTCAGGCAGGGGCTGAACTAGTGACCCCAAAGCTCTGTCCGGCTCTGACACGCTGTTCTGTGAGTCCGTCCATTGGAGCGAGTAATTGATGGTATAGGCGGGGATCCAAACCACCTGGGTCCTCGAGGCTGTGTGGCTTTGGACAAGTGACTCACCCCCTCTGTGCCTTTGTTCCCTCACTTAGAAGCGGGGGGTATGTGACTGGCTAAGAGTAGTAGCTCTTGTTTGTGGCCATTGAGTTCACCCCGACTCATGGCCACCTCGTTATGATGGAGAGGAGCGTGGTCCGATTCTGCGTCACCAAATCATTGGTATTCCTGAGCACGGTGTTGTCTCGGTCATTTCAGTCCTTGTCATAGTGGAGTTCCTCATTACTACTGACTCTCCTTCATCCACCCAGACAGACATCGTTTTCTAACTGTTGATCTTTCCTGACAACATGGCCAAAGTCTCGCCATGCTTCTATCCTAGGAGCATTCTGGTTGTATTTCTTCTATGCCTGATTTGTTAAGGGCTGGATAAATCCCTCTCCTACTGCCCTGAGTGAATACCGACTCATCACTACCTTCTAGGACAGGGCAGAGTTACTCCACGGGTTTTCCAAGGCTGTAAATCTTTACAGGAGCAGGCAACCTCGTCTGTCTCCCAAAGAGTGGCTGGTGGATTTGAACCCTTGACTTTTCTATTAGCATCCCAAGTGTTGAGGCCATTGCACTACCAAGGCCCCTGGGTTAACAGCACTAACGTAACTCCTGTCACTACGGTAAGCCCTCGTAACTTGCCAGTCTGTGATTTGTGTAACTTGAAGGAGACTTTCCTTCCAAGAACAGGGGCATTAACCACCTCTCTTCCCGTCTCTTCCAGGCGGAGGCCAGGCTTGCAGCGAAGCGCGCAGCCCGCGCCGAGGCTCGGGAGATCCGCATGAAGGAGCTAGAGCGGCAGCAGAAGGAGGTAAGGCTCCACGTCTGAGCCTGAAACGATGGCTTTTATTGTAGACTGTGTGTGAGAACACACACACCTGTTGCTGTCGACAAACCCAAACCCTGGATGTCACTCATGAGTGGGACCCATGTGATTTTTTCCAAGGTCAGACCTGGGAGAGCACATAGCCGAGATACCGGGCATGCCTGTCCCAGGCGCTGGCCCTGACAGCTCCTAGAGCTACCTGCCCCCCTCAGTGCCCCCCTCAGCCAGCTCTGTGGCCGGACACAGCCAGAAGGTATTGTCAAAACATTACCAGCTGGAATCCGGATCCTCCAAATGACAGGAAGAGGTTATTACATTTCGTGACACTGATGTTACTTTGTGTAAAAATCCCCCACCCTCCACTCCCCGGGTTTTGTAGCATTTTTTTTCCACATATGGTGATTCCTGAAGCCCTTCTGTGAAGACACCAGGACCAGACTAAATCTCGTGGAGGAACAGCTGCTGAAGACGTCTCCCTCCAGGGCAGACGGGTTGTGTTGTATTTGGGCAGCTATTGTTACTGTTGGTTACTTGGGTGTTTACTATGTGAGTTGGAGCCAGAAGTCAGGTCTGGCGGTGTGAGCTCCTAGAGAGTGCTGAGCTTTGCCGTGACCTTGAAGACAATGTGGCTAATAAGTCAAGACCCTCTCCATCCACGTCCTCCCGTGGGCCATGCCCTGCAAGGAGCCTCAGGGACCACCCTCATCACACCCCCTGCCCCAAGAACTTTCCGTGTTGGGAAGATTTGCAGTGATTTGGTGGCCGTGGTTGCCAGCTGACTTCCCAATGGTTGACTGTCTTACATGTTGTCATCATTATTGATGGCCACCAAGCCGGCTCCAACTCAGGGTGGCCTCCTGTACATCAGAGCCAGACACTGCCCCTTCCTGGTCATCTTCCTTATTGCTGCCTACTCTGGCCACCCATCTCCTGAAGAGTCCCCCTCGCTCTTGCTGACCCCCTGCCTGCCCCAACGTGGTGTCCTTTTCTAATGAAATTGACAAAGTCACGTAGCATGTGAGATTCCACTTGAAACCTGTGTTTCTCTTAAAACCACTAGATTCTGCCGCCTTCCCAACGAGGACCCGGTGGGTCTCATTTTGAGTAGGATGCTCACTTCCATCCCTGTCTTTGTCCACTGGGGGTCGCTATGGGACACGGCCAGTCTTGAACTGGGGGAAGAAAGTTCTTTGACGAAGAGTGAGTCAGGCCCAAGAGATCAATGAAAGGGCTGATGGGGGTGCCCAGGCAGCGATGGGAACAGGAGTGGACATTGGTCCCTTAGAGAATAGCCACGCCACAGTCCAGCATTTAGTAATCGGGAAGTGACCCGAGCTGCGTCAGTAGCTTCAAGGGCATTTTTGATATTGCATGTGCCATGTTTATACGTGATTGAAGACTAGATGACGTTTTTACCTCATTGTAATGATAAATGCACTTGTAAATGGGCTCTAGCTTATAGGCTCTCCTGCCTCACAAGTTGACTTAGTATTTGGATTGTCTCTGCTTTCTTTCATTTACTTTGCTTGAGGAACACAGGGGTCCTGGCGTGATGCTATAGGATAAGCACTGGATTGCTAACTAAAAGGTTGGCAGTTCAAACCCACCAGCCATTCCTCAGCAACCCCATACAGGGTCACTGTGAGTCGGAACTGACTCGACGACACCTAACAACAACAAAGGAGCTCTTCCTTTATTTTCTACTTGGTGTTGTGGGCCACTAACCAAACCGTCGGCAGTTCAAACCCATCTGACGCTCCTCTGGAGAAAGATAAGGTTGCCTGCTCCCGTGAAGACCTGGAATCTCAGAAACCCTGTATAAGGTCATGATGAGTCAGACCGACCTGGTGGCTGTGGCTTTGGTTGGTTTGGATATGGTCACACTTGGTTTTAAGACTTGAAAGTCGACATACCTGGGGCTCCAGGGTCATCATTGGAACCTTACGACTGAACTCGTCCAGCCCAGTGTTTAACGTGCGGCACCTCCCCTGACCTCTGTTACAGAGGAGGTGACGTTCTGAAGGCCTTGGGACTGGGACGAGAGTAACACATTTCCACAAAGTCTGGGGTGGGACCATGGAAGATCAGTCAAGAAGCATTTTCTGGAGAATTCCCAGAGAGGAGAATTGAGTATTTGGGCAGGGAACTGGAATGGAGGAGAGGGGAGGACCTTGTCCCATAAGCTGTTGTCACGTGTCTTTGTGAGACAAGGTCACCCCTGCCTTCGGTCTGTCCTAATATGATCCACAGCTGTGCACTCAACCTCTGGAATAAATGGCCATCATTGGAGGCCTAGTTTATTCTGATTTTTTGTGTTTTTGTTTTGTTTTTTTCTTTTTCAAACTATATAACTTTTTTAAAATGTTGAATTTCCCCATTGCTTTTTTTTTAAACCTTTTTATGGTGAGTGAAGGTCTATAAAGCAGGTCAGTTTTCTGTCCAGCAGTTCACACACCTTCCGTTTCTTCTCGCTGATTGCTGTCCCCACCACGAATCTCCTCTCATCCCACTTCCTCCCTGGGTTTGCTGTCTCTATCCCTCTTTCCCTAGCCCTCCTGAACTCTGTCGTTAGGCACACGCTGCCCTTTTGATCTCAGGTGGTTGATGATTCTAAGGTGTGGGTACCACCCTAGTGTTACATTGTTTTCCTTTTAGACCTGTTGTTTGGCAGAACATTGTGTGTGTGTGGGGGGGTGCTTGTGTTTTGAGGTCTTTGTGGTTGCGGGGGGTGTAGGGAGGGTGGGGATGTAGGTGTGTGGATGTGGGGGGAGTAGGGGTGGGAGTGTGGTGTGTGGTGTGGTTGTGTGGAGGGGCATCAGTGTGTGGAGGGTGGAGTGTTGGGGAACGTGGGGGTGTGAGTCTAGAAGTGTGTGAATATATGTATGTGTATGGATATGGGTATGTGGACCACTTCTGTTTTTCAGTTGTTCGAAGATCGGAAACTTCCCATCTTGACATTTGGTGTAAGCATGCGGTGGGGATTGCTCGTGGTCCTCAGACATGGTGGTGCAAGGGGTTGTGGCCAGCTCTCCGTCCCCCTCACAGAGCCCAGTGAGACCCAGAGACCCAACCCCGCTGCCCATGCAGGAAATGGAAGCCAGCTAGGCTGCTGTGGGACTTGTGGGGGCCCAGGGAGCCTCAAAACCTGCCCTTTGCATCCCTGGGTCCCTACCGAGTCCAGCACTGACCATGGGACTTGGTTCCTGCTCTGAGTGCACTTGGCAGAGACTCAGGCAGCTGGACAGCTGGGGTAAAGACTCCATGGTTTATCTTCCGTGTTCATGCACACAACCACCATTTATTTGGCAGGTAAACCCCATTAGACTTTCCAAAGTCTTCATTCTTTCAGCAGCTTCCACCTTTACTGTAGAGACATCTCTGCATGTACTTTATGGGTCTGGACTCCTTGGACCCTCCACTGGCCCTCTGCCGCGTGCAGAGCTGCCTTCAGACACAGCATGGTGGGGGGTGCTGTGAGTGTCTGTTACCCCTGCAGTGTGTTTGAATTGTCGGAGGTCCAGGAAGACCATGCAATCCCCATGAAGAAATAACTTTGGCAAATGTTTCTTTTGAAAATGTATCTCATGTGGCTAGTTCAGTGCTCTGCCTTCCCATCATATACAGCATCCGGGATCTGGCCTCTCCCTCCTTGGGTATCTGTGATGGCCACAGTACAGTCAAAACTCTCAGGGCCCCGTGTTCCCACCCTGGCTCAGTCCTGTGGCTCATGACCGGTGTGGGATGACAGCTATGTCAGGCAGGCAGCTCTAACGAGGGAAAGCCATGTGTCCTCAAAGCCAGGAGCAAACCCTCCAGGTGAAGCCGCCCTTGTAAGATGACCCTGTGCCATGAGATCCAGGAGGGGGATCAGGGTGGACAGCGGAAGGGGGTGCACCAGCTGAGGTGTCCACAGGCTGTGGAGCCAGATGACCGGCTCAACAGTTGTGCCCATTTATAAAATGGTCGATTTGCTGGCAAAATGCAAGAAGGCCAACCAGAATGCTCCTTAGAAGTGAGGCTGGTAAAAGTTCATTGCATTGTCTTTGGACATGTGATCAGGAAGGACCAGTCCCTGGAGAAGGACATTATGCTTGGTAAAGTGGAGGGTCAGTGAAAAAGAGGAAGACCCCACCCCGCCAACAAGATGGACTGACAAAGCGGCAGCCACACTGGACCCTAACGTCACCATGAGTGTGAGGACGGAGCAGTGCCAGGCGGTGTCTCACTCTGTCCTACACGGAACTGTGAGTTGGAATAGATTCGACGGCACCTCGCAACAGCCACATCTGAGTCTTTGAAATACAAGAGCATTCCTTTTTAAAGATTATGTCTGCTTCTTCAAAAAGGGATTTGAAGGATATAAAACCTAAAAATATGTGTCATTCCCAGTAAAAGAGAACTGCTCAGGGGAACAGAAATGGGAGGTGGACACTCACGGAGCTCAGCTCTGTTAGCAGCCCGGGCCTGGGGACCTTCCTGTACCATCAAGATGGGGACTGTCTCTTGATTTATAGGAGAGGAGATGAAACTGTTAGCTGCAGTGACTAAAACGGCTGAGCCAAGATTTAGATCTGGAGCTAACTGGCTGCCGGCCTTGCACGGATATATATATGTATGTGTCTGTATATGTGTGCATGTATGTGTGTGTATATGTATGTGTGTATGTGTCTGTATATGTGTGTATATGTATGTGTGCATGTATGTGTGTATATGTATGTATGTGTCTGTATATGTATGTGTGCGTGTATGTGTGTGTATATGTGTATGTGTGCGTGTATGTGTGTATATATGTATGTGTCTGTGTATGTGTGTATATGTATGAGTGCGTGTATGTGTCTGTATGTGTGTGTGTATTGTGTATATGTATGTATGTGTGCACATGCACATGTGTGCATTTCTATGTTCATGTCGAGAGAAGAGTGTGCCCTTCTCATGGTCCAGGCTCGCAGTTCCAGGAACGCACTGGGTGGACGTGGGTTGGGCACACCGAGCCCGCCCTCCACTCTCGCTGGACGCCCCACCTCAGGTCCGGCTATTCTTAGATCTACTCACCCCATTTCAGGTCATTCAATCCCGCTGCCTACAACAGTGGCATTCCAACGATGTGAAGAGGTAGAAGTTAATATGCTCTGGAGGGCCAGGCCGTAACTGGGGGAAGTTCAGATTTCTGTGTGGACACACCTTGTCTTAGGGAACTTTGCTGTGTGTGCTTCATAGATAGCGTGTATTTTAACAAATGGAAGGTTTGTGGCCTCTGACATTGAGCAAGGCTGTGGGTGCCATTTCTCCCACAGTGTGTGCTCGCTTTCTGTCTCTGTGTCCCCCTGTGGTCTTCCTCTCAGTGTTTCAGTTTGCCACCATGCCATTGTTTTTGCATGCTTCATAGAGGACAGTCTCCTGTCAGCATGGGACCCTGGGACACCAACAAATTCGTGTGACCCACTTCATGGTGATCCTTGCTTGAGTGTGGTGGACCCATTTCCACTTGCACCAGGAACAATTCCATCATACACAAGTGTCCCTGAGCAGGAGACCCAGACCAGCATTGGCTGACCTCATGCCCTGGTAAAGCTGATATATACCAGTGCCCCTGGGAGCTCAGAGAACGGGAAGCCGGGGATGAGGGACGAGGGTTTGGGGGTTGCGGATGCAGGTTGTGAGTGTCACCAGAGGGGGACTGGGATCCCCCAAGGAGAGGCTGGAGAGCAAGAAGAGGGGAGAGGCCAGTGAAGGAGTCTAAAACCACCTGAATTTGTCACCAAGATGTGTCACCGAGCCCAGCAAAGCCAGGGAATGGTCGCTGGTGACCCAGAGCCCCTAGGCCAGCCCTGGCCCCCTACAATAGTGCATGCAAATAACCAGAATCAACTACAGCTCACAATACATGTTTCAAAGGAGTACGTGTTCCTTTATAAAGTACTCGTTAGGAAAGAATACACGTAGATACTCTCTGGGGAATTCAGACGAGCCTTGAACTTCATGGGAGAACCTGCGCCAATAGGGAAACGCAGCAGGAGGATGTTCAGAACACATCTCCGTCCTTGTCCTGACCTCGTGGTGTCTCCTCAGAGGGTCTCTGTAGGCTTGAGGTCGATTCTCACCACCTGTGCCCATCTCAGTTCTGTCAGGGCCTTCAGCAGTGCCCGGGCACTACCTGATTTGCTGAGTTGGGTGGGTGGGTGGATTTCTCATTCATGCCCAGAGATCACTACAAATGTAGAAGAAACCGCCGAAGCAAACACATACATCCATGTACAATAATAGGTGATGTTCTGAGGTTTGTTAGAAACATTTCCATTGTATTCCCTGGCTCTCTCTGTATCTGGACTTTTCCTGGCTCTATGTTTGTAGCTGCATAGTTCTGAGCATCAGAGCATCTTTGTCTATGGTGTCTGAAATTGACCGGTTAACTTTCCAATTAAGTTTCTACATTTAGAGGGGAGCTGAAGCGTATTCAGTGTGAAATTAACTTTTGAAATAGAAGATGAAGTAATTTTTTACCTATTAGCTAACACTAGAAAGTTGTACAAACTTTTTCGTTGGGTTAATAGCAGGCTCTGGTAGATTCAAGTGGGTGTAACCGTGTTTCTCCCACTTATCCAGAATAGAATGTAAGCTAAGTGACGAAACCAACAAGTCCTTCGGTGGGATTTGAAGAGGACTTTTTGGGTCATTGTTTACAAACATCCACTGTGGGGGGTTTGTTTTGTTTCTGTGTTGCCCATCCCTCAATATGACTGTTTTGTTCACATTTCTAGGTACCTGTCTGGCGTTTCTGATATCTCTCTTTCTTTCTTTTGCCCTTCTCTGTAGATCTATCAGGTTCAGAAGGTAGGCAGTACCTAATTTCTTTCCCAATTTGCATGCACTATTTTTCCTTGCCAGGAGCCTGAACACCTTTCAGAAATAACACTTTGCATTGGAACTACTCAGGCCTCCTGTTTCTTTCACTGCTTGTTTTCTGCCTGTGTTTGCACATGTGCACATAGGGTCCCCACTTAGACACCTGCAGAATCACTGTCAGACACATACCTGTGTACCTGATTCTTTTATTCATCCAGAAATTAGGACACTTCTTCCTCTGAACAGGGTAAAAATGACAACAAAAAACACAAATGCTAACACAAAAAAAAATCCCATTTCAGAATTCAGGAACCCTTTTGAAAGCAAATAGGATCCCTGGTGGAATGGTGGTTAAAGCACCCGGCTGCCATCCAGAAGGCTGGTGGTTCAAACCTACCAGCCACTCAGAGGGAGAAAGAGAAGGCAGTCAGCTTCCATAAAGATCGACAGCCTTGGAAAGCCTGTGGGACACTTTTCCTCTGTCCTGCGGGTCACTGTGAGCCAGAATTCACTCAAGGGCAGCAGGTTCCGTTTGAATTTTGAAAACAGATATTTAAACACAGAGGTGATCTCTCCAGCTAATTGTATTAGGATCAGCACTGGAATGTGAACCGCAAGGTCATCAGTTCAAACCCACTAGCTGTTCATCACATAGCCCTATACAGGGTCACTATGATTCAGAACCAACTCAACAGCATTTAACAACAACAAGAGATGATTGGAGCCCTGGTACATCACTGTGGAATAAGCATAGGACTGCTAACCACAAGTTGTTGTTTCAAACCCACCAGCCGCTCCTCTGAAATTCTGTATGGGGTCACTATGAGTCGGAACCGACTCGGCACTTAACAATAACATGAGATGGCTACATACAGATTTTTTTAACCTGAGTAGGAAAGGAAAGTGATGTTGGAACACTAAGATCTACAGGAATAAATTTCACTCACCCTCCCTCCCCACTGTTTTGAGTATTGTAAACCACCGTGCATTTCTGTTCCCTACAGCTTAGTACAAGCAGCTGAGGCCAAGAAACACAGGGAGCACCCCATTAGTGACTCGGGAGTCAGCAGTAAGGAAGTAAGTCCTAAGCAGGCTCCCAGAGAATTTGTAGAAAACGCCGAGTCCCCATTGCAGTGAACTTCGTTTGTTTTTTTATGACATTTATAATAGCTTTTAAAAACAATTTCTTCAGCTACTAGACAAAAGGTCGGTGGTTCAAGCCCACTCAGAGGAGCCTCAGAAGAAAGACCTGGCGTTCTGCTTCTCAAAGGTCAGAGCCTTGAAATTCCCATGGAGCAGTTAGTTCCTCTCTGCACACACAGTGTTGCTGGGTGTTAGCCTCAACTTGACAGCAAGAACAGTTACCAGATAGAGAACTTGGTTTTTCTTTTCAGAGCAGCTAAGAAACTCAGATGAGGTGACATCATATCAGAAACTCACAGCCTGTTCACTCAACATAGGAGCCCAACTTACTCAAGTCTGTCCAGAGGGATTTCTCGGCTAGCTGTAATTCCGGATTGCCTCCCCCTCCTGCCCTCCTAAAGGAACCCTGGTGGCTCTAGCTAAAAGGTCAAAGGTTCAAACACATCAGCCACTCTATGGGAGAAAGATGAGGAGGCAGTCAGCTTCGTAAAGACTGACAGCCTTGGAAAGCCTGTAGAGGGGCTACAAGTCAGGATGGACTCAGCAACAGTGGGCTTACCTTTGGGGTTCCCTGCCCTCTTCTCTTTGATTAAATACTAGTTAGTCTGCAGAGTGCACAGAAATCCGTGAAGTAGGTTCCCAAATCTCTTTGTGCCACATTCGTTTCTCTGAGGTCTAACTATTGAAATATACATTGAAAATAGAGTTTCAAATCATTTTTAGAATCCCACTGAGAATTGTAAAAGGTGATGCTAGCTGACTCGATGGCCTAACACCTCCAGAAGGGATGTTCAGTCCAGAAATCTCCACTCACCTTCATGTCACTCCTGCGCTAGCTGGCTCGTTACTTCTATTAACTCAACAACGGGGTCCTGGTATAGCAGTGTGGTATAAAGCACTGGACCACAAGGCTGGTTTGAACCACAAGGTCAGCGGTTCAAACTCACCAGCTTCTCCTTGGAAACCCTAGGCAAGGTCGCTATGAGTTGGAACCAACTCGACAGCAGTTAGCAACAACAACACACCAACAATACATCTTTAGAAGTTTGTCAGAATGTTAACTTGCATTCAGAGTGAAAGGACCTTCGAAGTCCTCCGGGGCCAAGCAAGCACATATGTTTGTAATAAAGGTGTGTCCCAGGGAAGATCAGGCTTTTCTCATTCCCGAGGCTTGTGACAAGGAAACAGTAAATACTCCACTGGATCATTCGACTGTTGCGTGTAATTGTTTCTCTTCTCCTGGATTTAAGCTATTTCTGAAAGCCGAGCACTTTTTGCATTTCACCTGGCTCTTGCTTCTTTGCATGACTCACCTGCTAATCACGTGGTTCACCTTGGAACTAGCCTCACCTGTCTGGAATTTGCTGCGCTGGTGCTCCTAGCTAACACTGAGCCTCTCATTAATTGCACTGGGTGCACCTAGAGGTGTTCAGCCTCGCTCTGCACCCTTGCCCCCCGGAAATGGCAAGGCAATGTGGGTAGCGTTCCAGCACCTGCTGGTAAGGTCATCCATGAACGGGAAGGGAAGATTTTGGTTGCGGGGTCTTATTTCTATCCTGAAAAGAATATATCGTATGCAGTATTGACTACAGCTATGAAGTAGGGCACGGAGGCTAAGATGAGTATAGCACAGAAGGCTTTTGGAATTGAAGTAATTTTATTGGGGATTTGTATAGAACTCCCCCTTCCTTTTTAAAATGATTGTTATTAAACCCTAAGATAAGGAAAGGGATGACTTCATAGTTTGCAAGTGGTTTTTATTTCCGTTCTAAATTGTCATCCTAAGGAAAGCGCCATACAGACAAAAAATTTTGGCTCACATACTTTTCATATTGGAGTCTGTCCTTGTTGGATTTTGAAAGCTTTGCCAAATTCTCCCTCCTACTCTTTCCTCTTCCAGTTTTCTACTGAGCCACCATCCTGAAAATAAGGGAGTTCAGACCATGTTAGGGCAGTATGTTTGAAATCTGGCCATCCTTCAAAATAAACTGAAACTAAACCAAACGTAACCAAGTGCAGCATGTCTTGGCTGTGGGGACACAACCATTTCAAAAATGGTTGTGTACAGCTAGCATCCAATTGATTTTTCTTCTGATGGTAAGATGTTCATGTGTAAAGAGAAAACCACATCTGTGTTACACGAGATGGAGGACTAGTTAGTTGTTCCTTGTAGGGCTTCAAACCAATTCGATCTGGTTCAGTCATGGCCAGTATAGTGAAATTGGAACAGACCATGGATTTTTTTTTTTTTTAATTTGGGAGAAGTGGTACTGTAACTAGAGCAGGAAAAATTATGGGTTGGAGCCCTCAATGGGCAGTTTGGAAAAGGCATAGTGAGACCCCTCAGGAGTCTGAGGAAGCAGGTTGGAATATTGCCAGGAGATGGAGGGTATGTATGACACATTCTAGGTGGCATGGTTGACCACCATCTTGGAGCTGGACACCACTGTTTCTGACTCTGTTGGTCAAGAGGTTTGGTTGCTATGCAACAGGTATGCTGCCCTTGTTTCCTATGAAGGAGATTAAGTTTCTGGCAGGGCATCGACCTGTAATTTTTCCCATTCTGGTTAGTGTTCTAGTTCTCCCACATTTTACAAATTCAGGTCCATTCCAGCTTCATTTTCTTGGCCACAACTAAACCATGAAGGAGCAGTTCAAAGCTCTCATTCCTTACTGGAAAATGAAGGAAGAGTGAGGGTAAAAGCAGAACCTTGTTATTTGAGATTATAACCAAGGCTTCCACCTAATTTTGGAATCACCTTACGTCATAACAGCAGTAGCCATTCTGAGAGCTTCTATATGTAACTCCCAGGTGAGCCACCACACCGTAGACTAGCAAGCTAAAAACACAGATCTATTAGACCAAGTACATTTCTTCCCTGTACAAACACCTCATCCGTAGACCACCCAGCCATCTCTGAAGATAGCCTAAGTATTGTCTCAGGTACCCACATGCAATATAGTCCTCAGCTTGCTGAATTTGGTGCAGTAGAAACTAGAGACCCTTACACAGTGCCACCCCATTTCTGGGAGGTTTTTGCAACCCAATTTTTGCAACTTGGGAACGGCTCTCAGCTTTGCTTCTCCTCTGCGATACTTATTCCTCCAGTGTGTTTTAAAGGCATGAACAGCTAGCTTCACAGAAGGGCTTGGAATGCTGCTACTCTAAGTTTAGGTTCTGGCCCCTCTGCTCCCTCCCCACCAGGAATGCTTATGTAGTGCTAGTCTCCGTTTGCAGAGAAGGGGGGGGGGGGTCTCTCTCTGTCTCTTTTTCTCTCTTTGCAGGCTCCCAACCCCCCAGGACTGCTGGGGTGACAGCTTCCTCCTGCTGTTTTGCCTTGGCATGCTCCCTCACCATAGGCCTGGGGCATGTCTGGACAGTTATGCGGTTACCTTTCTACTGTACATCTAATATTCTCTCCCTTCTGTCTCTAGAAATACTATGGGCTGGATACAAAATGGGGTGACATCGAGCAGTGGATGGTAGGCCTTTGAATATGGTTTCAGACATATAAATGGTTTCTGATTTCATTCTCGTACACTTTAGTCCTCTCGATATGTTCCTTTAATGCTAAGGGGTTGCCTTCTGGGAATTCCTACACTGATTTCTGATGAATTACATCCCTATGTGAAGCCAAGAGAGCGTCTGGCCTGCCCTGCCTGGGTGGTGCAAGAATGCTTGCCTGGTTGGTTGTGCTGGACAACTAATCTAAGGGTTGGCAGATCAAGTCCACTCAGCAGCACCATGACACAAAGGTCTGGCAATCAATCTGTGTCTCTCTAAAATCACAGCCAACAAAACCCTATGGAGCACTTCTGCTCTGTAACACATGGGGGCGGTACAAGTCACTGAGAGTCAGAACCAACCCAGTAGCACCTAACAACAGCAACAGACCTAAAACTAAGTTGAAGGAAATGGAAATCTATCTCCTGCGATCTCAAATACCTATGTGTTACGTAAAAGAGGCAGCGTTCTTGCAATGCAGAGCACATGCTTCCCCCTGTTGTGGGGGGGTGGGGGGGGTGGGAAAGACTTGTTCAACCTTTGTTATGCCTAAATCATCATTTTAGGCTTATAAAGCACAGAGAGATGTATTTAATCAAATCTAAGATACAATTAACAGATTCAGCATCCTTGTTTAATATACCATCAAGAAAGAAAAACGCTATTGATGATAATCTTGAGAAGATTTATGATAGGATGTACTCCCATTTCAGAACTGACCAAACTATGAGACAAACTGCGTGTTAGAATCCACAAAATACACCCAAGAGAGGGGTGACATTTTGATTGCATCTGCTAGTAATTTTAATGAAAATGACTTCCCTTCTAATGACTAAGACAGTAAGGGGGAAGCATATAAGGGGGCCGGGGGTGGGGTGGGGACTGGGCTTCTTTAAGTAGTCCAGATTTTAGAGGCTCACAATATTGAAGGCCCAACCTCCCTTGTTCCTCCTACGCACACTTGTCTTTAAGCCAAAGTGAAATATGTCAATGATTTGTATACTTCCCATCTGCCTTTAGAAGCAAGCCTCTTCCCCCAGTGGTTTAATTGGAACCTTTAAATGAAAGCAAAGACAATATTTACTTGACATTTATGCCCGAAGCACTGTATTGCACGCAGCTGGACCGTCTGAGGCTGTGGGGAGCACTTCTCTGTGTCTAACTTTTCTGTACTGTTTCCATTGCTTCGGCAGGAAGACAGTGAACGTTACTCTCGTAGACTTCGAAGGAACACATCGGTTAGTACCTTCCATGTTCATTACCTGGGTGGTGCTGTGACCGGGAACTGGTGTATACTTTTGTGACTGAAATGTATCAGCGGGCTTCAAAAAGCTCCTGGAAAAAATGCCAGTATCTTTCAATTCCATTCTTCCACTCTGAAAAGAATTTGACACAGTGAACTCTGTGAGTGGGAATTGATACACTGAATGCCTTGCTTTTCCAGGTCTCCCAAATGTTCCACGTCTGGAAGGGTATATTGTCTGACTGTTTATCTAAGGCTCTCTGTTGTTGTTGTTGTTGTTGTTAAGTGCCATCGAGTCGGGTCCGACCCATAGCGACCCTGTACAGGGTTTCCGAGGGTGTAAATCTTTACGGGAGTAGAAAGCCTCATCTTTCTCCCGCGGAGCGGCTGGTAGTTTCGAACCGCTGACCTTAAGGTTCGCAGCCCGATTCGTAACCACTACGCTACCAGAGCTCTCTGTTAGTGAGAAATAATTGTGTTTCCCTTCTCTGGCAGGTTTCTGCCTTCTACAGGTTCTTGTAATATGATGGTGGTGGTGTGTCACTGAGTCAGTTTCAACTCATAGCCACCCTGGATAGGGTTCCTGAGGCTGAGGGAACAGGAAACCTCATGTTTCTCCCCGGAACACTGGTAGATTCTAATTGCTGACCCTGCGGTGAGCAGCCCAGCTCGGAATCCACTACACTGCCAGGACTCCTAGTAGTGATGTTATTACTTAAACAAATAATCTAAGTGTGGCTTTTAGCAGTGTAACCTAACTGTAGTGAGGGAGGACAAGGAACCTTGGTGTAGTACCGTGGGCTAAGTGTTGGGCTGCGAACTGTTTGGCAGTTCAAACGCTTCAGCCACTCTGAGGGAGAAAGACGGGGCAGTCTGCTCCCCTAGTCAGTCTCGGAAACTATGGGGCAAGTCTGCACTGCCCTATAAGGTCGCTGTGAGGCGAGATCAACTTGCTGGCAGGGAGTCTAGTTTTCTTTTGTGGTGGGGGTCGTGTTTGAGAATGCTGTATTCATAACGTACTTCAGTGCTTTGAGGGAGTTGGATACACATAGTTATATAAACGGGGACTCCAGTTTGATGAAGTTCATTTCAATCCTCATTACCCAGAAGCAGTCTGGCATCAGCAGCGTGCAGAGCCTACATGTTGTTGAGCATAAGACACACGACCCCTGAAATCACAGGGGTGTCTGAGCCCCCCGCCCCTGCTCTGGGACCAGTCAGCTGCACCCCTCAGAAACTCGGGCGTTAGTTTCTTGGTGAGTCTGTGTGCGTAGGACCACCTCATGGTTGTTCTCCTCCTCTTTTCCTAGGCTTCCGATGAAGACGAACGCATGTCAGTGGGTAGTCGCGGCAGTCTAAGGGTCAGTACTAAAACGATGTTTGCACTGAGAAACGTACAGTAGATCCACTTTACTTCATCATCCCTGCCTCCACATTCCTCATTTCACATCGCTGGAGAGTCCCACCGTAACTACTGCCTGGTGCCGCCATATTTCTCTGCTGGAAAGATAGTAAACAACCCTACACGCATCACTTGTGTTTTTCTATCAAGAGTATAAGTTACCATTTAAAAAAAATATATTTGTCCACATCACATGTTATTTCAGCTTTGCTAGTGTGATGAGTAGAAAGGAAAACCATCTTTTGCTCTTACGTCTGTACCCCTCCCCATTTACACACGTGTTCCTCAATAACATGAGAAGATAGCATTGAAAGTCATTTCACAGGCACACCTGGGGTGCGAGACTCAACGGGAGATGTTTTTGCAAAGCTCCTTGCAGTCTCCATGTGGCCTGGTGAGGAACCAGTCAGTTTTGGCATAACCATAATGAAATGAATCCCTTCTCTGGTGGCTTGAATTTTCAGTAGCACACAAATACATATCTTTTTTTAAACGTTCCAGAATTTCTTCATGACTGTACTTGGAGGGTGTGCGTGCTTTGGGAATTGAAGTCGTGAAACTGTGTTTTGCCTTCCTTCTGTAAATCAGTAAATTAATTTGAGTATGTCCGTTTACTTGACCACAGAGGTGAAATTACATCTCACCGCAAATAATAATTAGGTCTCCATGTAACCACTCCATTTTATTTAAGGACTAGAGAGAGCTGAAGGTTTATTATTGTTGTTAATCACAGCAAGAGTTAAATTCCTACTTGGACTCTGAAGGTGCCTTTAATGGTAGCCCTTTCCTTTATAGCAGTAAGCAAACAGGAAGGCTGTTACATTGTTGTTGGGTGGTAGCTACTTTGTAAATTACTCAGGGTCCTGGCAGAGCAGGAAGCAGGAGCATCAAGCTGTGTTTGTTGGTCAGCTGTGGATGGATTGGAGCGCCTGCCTTGATGTTGGAGAGTTTCTCCAGAGAGGACCTAATGATATAGCTTTCACTTCCCGGCAAACCTTCTGATGTGCCTCCATCTAGAGTAAATAAAATGGATTGGGCCTGAATATTATAAATAAATGTGAAACTCCGCTTTCAGAGTCTATAGATACAGCATATAGAAACACTAACTGCTGGGCACGCCAGGAGCAAGTGGAGAGAAAAGTATATCAGGAAGGACAGCCATCTAGAAAGAACAGGACTGAGGCTACCCCATGGGTGTTAGCATCTTGGAGAGCTTGGGGGGGCCCTGACAAGGGAGTTTTGGGTGTAGATGGTGAGACCAGAACTTGACTGAAATGGGCTCCAGAGAAATTGGCGATCGAACCGAAATCTCTTAGCAACATGCCTTCTCCTCTGAGGTGTTATTGCTCCTGAAGACAGCATGCAAGGCATTGTGTGCACTTGAATTTTTCTGGGAAAAGAATTTGTTGCTTTTGCAAAATTCTCCTAAGTTTTCCTGATCCTAAAGAGTTTAAAACCATCAGGATATTCGAAAGCATTATGATGGTATACGGGACTCCTTAAGAATGCCATTAGTCTAAAGAAGTAGATTCTTGAAAATCCACAGAACTGGAAAATTTGGATCCGGGAGATAAAAGAGAATCCTCCTAATGACCTCAGCTTCAGAAGCAAACCCAGGATGGGGAAAGACCTGCTTCGGGTCACAGTTCTGGTGCCCCCTCCCCAGGAGCTTGGTGGACATGCGCTCTCCACAAGCAGGGAGACCCCATTCAGTGGGTGTGGACCTTGGCTAAGTACCCTGGCCCAGCATGGCAGCCCCACCAGCTGCATTGAAGGGAACCACACCCCACTCCATCTCTGTGTGGAACCGCTGGTGGTGTTTCATTGTACTTTGTTATTCTGAAGTCTTTCCTTTGTAAAGATCTCTTATTAGATCCTCTCTCTTATTTCCTAGTTCCAGAGACAGGCCTCCCTTTCTTCAGCTGCTGTGATAATAAACCCTAGACAACAAAGCAGAACGGGCAAGCTTCCTCTCCTGGTGCCATATAGATGCCCTTCTGAGAACACCCGCACTGTGGAAATGATGTGGTGTTCATTTTTATGATTTACAGGTTGGAAGGCATTTTGTTCTGGTTTTGTAAAGAAAGAAATTAAAACTGTTCACACTGTTTCCAATTTCCATAGCAATCTCTATGTGGGAAGTTGTGTTTTAGATTGTTGTATCAGAGGCAGATCCTGTGTAGTCTTTCTGAAAATATGCGTAAGATCGTGGAATTCCGAAAGAAAGGAAGTTTTGTTCGGATGTTCAAGAGTGCCTGTTTTTGTTTGAGGTTTGTGTTGTCTTTCTTAGCGCTTTCATTTCTTTTGGCAACTCTCTCATTCCTTTCCCATTCCTGTTCTCACAGTCGCAGCCCGACGTGGAGTTTAGGGGCAACTTCACCTGGGTAAGAGGGATCTGACAGGCTCTGCCGTGTGGTCTCTAACCATGGTGTGTGACAGATACTGATGTGTAACAAACAATATTGCTATTTCTACTCCTCTGATGGGTGCTTTTCTAGAATGCCAAGTAGGTCTCTGTCCAAAAAGATAGACCATCTGTCTGTCTGCCTTAGGACCTGAGGGGTAGGTGCCCCTGAGGGAGCTCCATCCTCCACAGACTCCAGTTACCACGGAAGGGTCTGAAATCACTGTATGAACTCACCTATCTTCTCACCAGGTGGTTTGTGTGTACCCATTATGCCAACAGCTGTGGCTACAAACATGAGCAAGATAGTGTCACTTACAAAGAATTAAATCAAATCAAGAATTTCCAATGCCTTAGTCTAAATTTCCTTTAGAAAAAGATGTTTTAAGTTGTCTCACTTAATAACAAATCCATTATTTGTTAATCTTCTGTCATTTCCAAGTAAATGGAATATTTGGCTCTGGTCATAAGTATTCTTTGATCATGGGACAGTGACCAAAATAAAAAAGAGCTCTGGTAGTGTAGTGGGTTATGAGTTGGGCTGTTAACAGCAAGGTCAACAGTTCGAATCTACCAGCTGCTTTGCGGGAGAAAGAAAAAGATTTCTGTTCCCGTAAAGACTTACAGCCTCAGAAACCCTCTTTAGGGTGGCTATGGGTCAGAATCTATTCAACGGCACACAACCACCACCACCAACAACAACGACAAAGTGAAGGTTTTAAATTTAAACTCTGACTTGCTCGCTGATACCTACCTAGGAAGGTTTCTGTGCTGTGTTCTCTCTGAACACCTGCAAACTTAAGCTCCATTCAAAAAAAAGACAATTGTAATCTTAGCAGGAAGTACAGTCCCGTATTCAAGTGACTCAGTACTGCAATAGTTATGTTGTTGTTGTTCAGTGCCACCGAGTCTGTCCTGACTCTTAGTGACCCTATGTACAACAACTAAACACTGCCCAGTCCTGTGCCAGCCTCACAGTTCTGCTATTGTTACAACCACTGAGTCTGTCCATCTGGTTGAAGGTCTCCCTCTTTTTCACTGACCCTCTACTTCACCAAGCATGATAGTCTTCTCCAGGGATTGGCACCACCTGTTAACACATTCGAAGTGCGAGGAATTTGGTCACAAGCTGGCATTTGGCCGCATCTGTGACCCCAGACCAGGGGCCATCTTCTTCATCCATTCCTCCTTCCCTTCTCGAGCTCTTGTGGTACACATGATGACAGCTGTCATCTTGAGTCCTGAGACATTTCCACACAGATTTATTAGAACGTTTGGGGAAACCTCGTGCTTTGACTTAGTGGGGTCTTGGGCTGGGGGTGAGCAGAGAGGGCAGATAGACATATAAGGCTTCAAAAGGTTTATAGGACTATTCAACTGAAAGATAAGGGGATCTTTCCACAGACTTTTTGAAAGCCCCCTTATACACATGACCTTTGCCCTTTTGTTTCTGGAGGACTGTCCATCAGATCGTTAAATATATCCCAGCTCTAATTTTGGAAAAACAAAGGAAATAGGAAGATTCTATGAATAGCAATAATACAACAATAGCATTCAATTCTAGGTTAGTTAAATTACGTGTCTAAGAACATACTGTAGAAGACAGAGCCCACCATAAACTTTTTTCCGTGATCAGCGTTTGCATTTCATCATAGATGGAATAGAAACTGATTTTGAATCCTTAGTCTTCAGGTTCATAATGGACTGTGATGATCAGGGTCAACCTCAAACCAAGACCTAAAATGTCATTGACTGAGGCAGGATTAGTAAAACCCACGCCCCATACTTGGTAATCAACCTTCCGAAAGCTACAATTCCAGCAGCCCCCGGCACTAAACTGAAAGCTGGGGAGCTGCGGCTAGCCGCTTTCAGGCTTCTCAGGAGAGATTGTAACATTGACCACATGGATTCCATTGTTTGACTCTGATGTCTTCTGACGAGTTGTAGTGGAGCAGATGAGAAGCCTGCAGGCAGTGTGGGGGCCTCGGGGATTTGTACAAGGTCCCTGGTAGCACAAACAGTTTGTGTGCCACTGCTAACCCAAGTTTGGTAGTTGGAAACCCACCCAGCGGTAATGTGGAAGAAAAGACTTGGAGATTTGTTTCTGAAAAAGATGGCAGCTAAGAAAACCTTGTGGGGCCGTGCTGCTGTATAGCCTGGGGGACCAGCTCCCTGGCAGCTGACCACAGCAGCAGGTTCACACCTTCCTGGGTTTCAGCTGTCTGCTCCACTACGAACACTCTGTGTCTGCTCTGGGTGCCCCACCCTGTTGATTTGTGCACGAGTCTGCATGTGTGTGTTGATGTTTTCTCTTCTTTTCTCCATTCCTCTTCTTCGCAACAGACAAATGGTTATGATGGAGACGTGTACGGATCCCAGCCCCTGAATAGAAGATCTGGCAGGGTTAGTACAGTACCTTTTCCTCGCCCAACCTTCTGCAGGTTGCTGCTACACTTTTTTTAAAATGTTGGTAAAATGTGCTTGTTTGTTTTCTGTGTTTCAGTGGGTTGCCCTTTGTCTCTCTCTCTCACATCTGCCTTTAGTGTAAGAAATCAATCATAATGTTTTTGTTGTTGTTAAGTGACTTCGAGTTGGTTCTGACTCATAGCGACCAAATATAGGGTTTCTGAGGAGCGGCTGGTAGGTTTGAACTACCAACCTTGTGGTCCAAACTGACCTTGCAGTCCTGCGCTTTTCCCACAGCGCCACACCAGCAATCAGAATTTCTAAGTGAAAAAAGAAACAAATCTTGTTCACTGAAGAGTCAGTCGCTCTTTTGTTATTTTGTTGCCGTAAGTGTAGAAGGGGTTCTGGGGTGGACACTGTAGGATTATGCATTGGACCGCAAGGTTAGTTTGAACCACACAATCGGCGGTTCAAATTCACCAGCCGCTCCTTGGAAACCATGTACAGAGTTGATATGAGTCAGAACCAACGCGGCAACAAGTGTATATAAAAGGAACCCTGGTGATATCGTGGTGAAAGCCTCGGGCTGGTAGCCAAGGGGTGAGCAGTTTGAACCCACCAGCCGCCCTAAGGGAGAACAATACGTATCAACCTGCTTTTGTAAAGATGACAGCTTCTGGAAAAAATCTGTCAGATGAGGTGGGCCCTGCTTAGAATGAACTTGAAGCAACAGATTGGTTGTTTTTGTTTTTGTTTTTGTTTTTTTGTGTATATATACTAAACCCAAACTCAGTGCCATCAAAGCATTTCCAACTCATAAAACTCAATATAGGGTTTCCAAGACTAAATCTTTATGGGAACAGACAGTCTCACGGTTCTCCCACAGAGTGGCTAGTGCATTTGAACTGCTGACCTTATAGTTAGCAACCCAGTGCTTATTCACAGTGCCACCAGGGCGCCGTGAGTGTATGTACTAAGGGGCTGCAGACAAAAAAGTGTTTGGAGAGATGGAATTGAAAGATAATAGAATTATTCCACAGACATTTCGAAGCCCCCTCCTTCCTATCTTTGTGTGTTTGGAGTTGTAGTCCACTTTCAAAAATGCATAAATGTGAAGTTTTTCACAGTTCTCCGCATCTCTCGTGTGTAATTTTAATGTTTGTCTGAAAGAAGCATATACTAGAGGCTGGGTTCCCCTGCAGAGGTGAAAAGCAGAAAGGAAGGCAGTGGAACCCATTGTATATGGACTGCTCTCCTGAGGAGGCAGGGGAGCCGGTGGGGGGGGGGGGGTAGGGAAGGAAGAACACCGGACATGGGAGAGGAGGGAAGCCCCCCGGGGCATTAGGATGGGCAATGCAGGAGTGCAGTCTTAGGGGATTTACTGATGTGAAGCTTGGACCTCTGTCTATTGAAGTCTATGAGATCTCATCCATCCTTTTGCGCCCTTGTTTTTCTTAAATAGTACTAAATTTCACTAGTTCTTTAAAATAGTTCTTCTCTTAATTTATATTAACATAAAGGAGCTCTGGTGGCACTGTGGGTTAGGCAATGGGCTGCTAATTACAATGTCGGCAGTTCAAACCCACTATCCGCTCCGAGGGAGAAAGAGGCAGTGACTGTTCCAGGAAAGATCGTCTTGAAAACCCCACGTAGGGTCGCTCTCATAGCAACCCTGGATAGGGTTTCTGAGGAGTGGCTGGTGAGTTTGAACTGCCTACCTTACGGAGTGCATTATCTTACAGTGTCATACCGAGATTCCAGATATCATATAAAGATATATTAAGATTTGATGTGATACATAAACTCCTATATATTTTCAGGTTTCAAAGACGTAAGCGTACCTCCAGCCCCACCACCTCAGCCCAGAGCTGGCTTTCTGGAATTGGCTAATCAGGCTTTTACCTTCTCCCTCCCATTCAGGGTTGTGAACATTTCTATATGACATGCCATCGAAGTACCCCAGGTGGTGCAAGAAACTCCCGGTCTGAAAGCTCTGTCTAGTCTTTATTTTGCCATTGGCACTGACGTCCTCCAGCTCTGGTAAAAGAGGGGCAGGCATGCATTTGGGGATATGACCAACATTGTGAACTCTGAGGCTCAGTGTTGTTGTGATGGGCAAGGAACGACTGTATTACCCCAACAGCCCCAGACCATGCCTCAGAGGTTTTTTTTTCTTGACTAGTTACAACTGTTCTCCTTAAACATACTCATTTTGTTTTATGAGGAATCAGCCATTGACCACAAAGACTCATCATTTGAACCACTGACCTTGCAGGTGGCATACTGGGTCAAGTGGCCAGCACCTAACCCGCTGCGCCACCAGGACTCCTTAGGTGGAAGTGACTTCCATTTTTCAGTCTAACTCCTACCCAACATTACCTTTTATTTTTAGACTGTCCCTAACAGGCAGTTCAGGGGACATCATCTAATGTGTCACGGAGTCAGTTTCGACTCATAGCGACCCTGTATAGGGTTATCAAGGCTTTGAATCGTTTGTGGGAACAGACGGCACACATGCCCATGTATTTGAATCCTTGGTTTTTACATTAAATCAGTAAAAGTGTGCTTTAAGACTTAATGAGGATTTAAGTAATGCTTTTAGGATTCAAATACAAAGGACCCTGATTATAAAAATTGTTCACCACAGCATGAAATTGGATAAACATGGACTTACCAAGTTAACAGGAAGTATAATCATTGGGTAGCTCAATACTCTGCATTGAATTCGGTGTCACTTAGGAGAAGACCCTGGAACAGAGAATGCCAGGACCCGTGTGAGGGTGGGCACGCAGCGAGATGGTCTGGGGTGGGAAACAGCTGTTTGTAGGAATAAATAAAATGAGCAATTGAGGATAGGAGTTTAGAAATATCTGTTTCTTTGATAAGGGAACTAAAAAGACCCAAAGTTCCTTTATAGGAGAATGGTTGAATTTAGGGCATTTTGATCATTGTATATCTTCATCTGTGACTTGCACACACATCTCCTCCCGCCTCCAGGTGCTTGGTTGGATCTGGCGGCTGAAAGCCTATATTTAAGATCACCACTAGGGGGGTCCACGGGTCATTTGTGTTCTGTGGACAGGGCTCTCTTCCGGAGGGTAAGGGCATGTTCCTTTGGCCTTTACTTTCTACTCAAAGCTTCCGGAGTGAGTTGTGTCCCACAGGGGTGCTGGGGCCATGGAGAGATTGGAAATGTTGCAAGAGATGGATTTTTATTACCTAAGAAAGCACTGTAGCATAAGCACTGGACTGCGAACCATAAAGTCGTTTGTTCTAACCCACCAGCTGCTCCTTAGAAACTGTATGTAGAGTATACTGAACCGACTAAATGGCACTTAACAACAAGAATGCCTGGTGATTAAAGCGCTCAGCAACGAATTGGAAGTCCATGGGGTGGAGGGCAGATGGCAGGCAGTCTGCTTCCATAAAGATTTACCACCTTGGAAACCCCATGGGGCAGCTCCTCTGTATCCTATAGGTCACTAGGAGGAGTCTGCATCAACTCAGCAGTGTACTGAGTTTGACTTTTTTGGTTAAGAAGGTACTCACTCACGGTCCCTGGGTAGCCCAAACGGTTTGTGTGTGACTGCTAACACAAAGGCTTGGTGGTTCAAACCCACCCAGAGGTGTCACAGAAGAAGGGCCTGCTATCTGCATCCGTAAAGATAACAGCCAAGAACACACCGTGGTGCTCACGTCTTCTCAGTAGCGCATGGGGCCGCCGTGGATCAGAATCAACGCCCCAGCGACTGGTGTGGGATGTTTGTTGTTGTTTTGAAAAGGAAGAATACCACAAAGAGAATTCAGATGAGGAGTAGTTTGTGGGCAGCTAGAGGTTACAGATCATTCTAGAACTGTGGGGTGGCAGCGTGTGGAGCTCAGCATTGAAATGTACGATAGCAGAGCCCACCGGCTTGTTGAAATCGGCATTCCGGAGTACTCATTTGATTTGGTTTTTGCCTCGCGTACTATTTATTTACTGCATTTTGAACAGACGGGTGGTACGTTTGGAGTCGTGGGGGAATACTCGCCACTTAACAACTATCTTCTTCTCTGGTGCTCAGAATTCCAGCTTCAGCGGCGACAGCAGAGTCTCCACCGTGCCGTCATCCAGGGAGGTTGGCATTTAAGTCTTTCCAATTCTGTCATCACGAAACTACAGGTTGTGTTGCATGCAATTTTGTGTGTGTGGATTCTGCTCCAGTTATTTTTTCTTTGCTTTTCTTTTCTTTCTGTTTGTACGTGTCTCTTTTTCAAGTTTTCACCTGGATAGATCCAATTATCTGTTGGATTTCTGAGCAAAATGAACATGAGTCACTTCAGTCCTCATTGCCCCTCTGTGTCCCGTCTTTGACTGTGTTACCTTGAATATCAAGTGTGATAATCAGCCAGCTCCAATGAAAGGAAGTATCTTTGTGGATACATTGTTGTTGTTGTCGTTGTTGTTGTTATGTGTTGTGGAGTCGGTTCCAACGCATAGTGGCCCTGCACAGGGTTTCCGAGGCTGTAAATCTTCACAGGAGCAGAAAGCCTCATCTTTCTCCCACAGAACAGCTGGTAATTTTGAACTGCTGACCATGAGATTAGCAGCCCGATTCGTAACCACTGTGCTACCTACCAGAGCTCCATTGTAGTTAGATTAATCCCAAGAAAAAGTGAAGAAGGCCTATCCTTGTGAACTCCTGAAAACAGAAAGACTTTGTGGGAGGAAGAAAACAGAAAGACTTTGTGGGAGGTTTGTTGGGCGATGGGCTAGACTTAGAATCAAAACTCAAATGTCTACAAAGTAGTTTCTTCCCATGGTGTAAGAATGTGCATCCGCTTTGACAGGTATATTCCAAAATGATGTCAGATCCCTACTGGTCCGGCCAATTGCACTACTATGGCTGCAATTTACCCAGCAAACATTAGGGAACTGTTTTAGATGGGAACAGGCAGAGGTACTGTGTACCATGTGCTGAAAAACGTGGGGAATTATTATTCACAACAGATGAGTCAGTAAGCACAAGTTAGCCCATGCTTCCCTTGCCTACTGTCAGGAATTGTGCTTTGGAAAAGAACCTTGGATTCTGGAAGAAGGTGCTGGGGGCTGAGAGAGAGACAGACGCCAGCCAGACCTAGGGGCAGAATCTTTGTGGTGGAAAAAGGTGCAATTTTCACTACACAAGTTAGCCCACCTGCACCTTGCTTGTTGGGTCATATGACACTAGAAACAGGGTGAGTGGGCCCTGGAAACAGGTAGATGAAGCAGGTGCTCTCCAAGTGCATACTTCTAGAAATGAACACAGAGGTTCTCATGGGTATGCTAAGGCAGCCATAAATAGCTAAGAGGCCTCAGTGACACGGAGAGCATTCTCATCGTTGTAAGAGCTGCGTTTTGACAGGCAGATGCCTCCACGTTATGTAAAAGCCCTACTAGGTCATGCCTGCTTGTCCTAGTTCAGGTGGTTCCTAGTCACCTAGCAAACGTTAGGAAGCAAGTATAGATGGGAATAGGTAGGAGTAGCAAGCGAGGACAGGCTTATGGACATGCAGTCTAGTGAGGAAATGTCAAACTGCTGGATACAAAGGAGGGAGGAACTTTGCCTGACGTGGCCTTACAGGCAACACCACTGTGAAGAGAGCCTTAAAGGATCAGTAAGGACCAGTAGATCTTCCTCAGGATGAGGGGACCAGGTGAGCAGAGCAGTGTCCAGGGGGCTGGAGGACAGGGCATCGGCTGGGCCCTTTCCAGGGCTGGATTTCCCCGACAGTTGCTCTTTGGGTCTGAACTTGAAATACTGATGTACCTTTCAGGGGAAGTAGGCGTCTAAGCCTTTCTGTCTTCCTCCCCCTCCCTTCCCCTATCCCCTCTTCTTCTGTTTCCAGGGGCTCTCCTGCTCGGACCTCGGACTCCCCAGTAGTGGCCTTGCTTCCAAACCCCTGTCCACCCAGAATGGAAACCGGGTCTGTCTCCTGCCTGCCCTCCACCTCCCACTTCCCTCCTCCCTCATGTGGTTTTAATTGCTGATTTAATTTATGAGGATAATTCAACCTTTTCTATATGTGAGCAAGCAAAGCCCAGGGGTGTTTCCATTGACTAATTTGCTAAGACCTTCCTGAGCCATTTTTTAAAAAGTCCTTCCCAAATCACTTCAGGCTCTAGCAGAGGAAAGGGGGGTTCAGGAGAAAGGGGGGACCTCTGTGAGGTCAACTTGAGTTGAAGTCAATACATGGCAACTATTGTTTTTGTTTTCATTATTCAATGCACCTTGGGTCCCAACCCTTGCTCTCCTGAGTCTCCACCTTTGCCAGCAGTTGCTCCTCACTTGACATTCCTTGGTGTGTTGTTTTTCCTTTTCCTCTTGCCAACATGTCCGGGGAGCTGTTGGGAGAAGCTGGCAGAAGTGTTCTGGGTTGTTGCTTGTGCTCACACGCCCCACTCAGCTTCCTGTGCTCATGGGGCTGGTGTCCAGGCTCAGCCTGGGCCATGGGCTTGTGTGTATAGCTGGAGATGCCACAAACCTTACTGAGACATAGGAAAGCCGGTGTGAGAGGCGAGTGAAGCCACATTTTAGAGGTTGAATTGTCATCTCGTGTGCATGTGACTCTGTGCCCTGCCCAGTTCAGTGAGACCCGGGGCCTCAGCCCAAATACCCCAATGAGCCTACCACTGAAGTCCCCATGTAGGGGCTAGACCTGCGCGGTTATATAGCACCAGTCCTGCCCACTGAGCAGGTCTTCTGTCCCCTGCTGTGTCCTGCACACGGTGTCTGCTCCTCTTCCCTTCACGTGTGGATGATTACCCCTAAGCACCTCACTAGAAACCCTGGGTGCAGTTTCAATCCACCCAGAGGTACCTTGGAAGAAAGACCTGGTGTTCTGCTGTCAGAAGACACAGCCATTGAAAACCCTGGGGAGCACAGTTGTACTCTGGCCCACATGGAGTGGCCATGAGTCTGTGGGCTCCAGGGCAGCAGGTTGTGGTTGGTTTGTTTGTTTGTTTGAAGTGTCTCACTAACCCGGGAGTGTGGGCTGTCAGCGTGGTGTAGTACAGTCACCAGGACAGCTGACCCTCCCTTCCAGCAACGCCGTCCTGTCTCAAAGACACCGGGGCAGTTTAATTTCATATTGACCTTCCTTATCAGCATGGACTTGCCCCGGTTCATTGAGCTGAAATCTCTGCACCTTGAGCTGCCCAGTCATCCGGCCCTCGTAATAAACTGAAGTGGGGCTGGTTTCTTCAAAGCTTGTAAACCTGCCCTTTGCTTTCCTTCTCTAGCCCTCCTGTCTGTGCAGTGCGGCTTGGCCTTCCGGGAGCCACAGGGTGCGTGTGTGATGTGCCGCCTCCCTCCACACTCCCCGCACACACCGTATGCATGCCACACACCAGCATACATGTTTGAATGCACTCTCTCCCTCTACACTCCCCGCGCACACCGTGTGCATGCCACACACCAGCATACATGTTTGCACTCTCTCCCTCCACACTCCCCGTGCACACCTTGTGCCTGCCACACACAAGCATACATGTTTGAATGCACTCTCTCCCTCCACACTCCCCGCGCACACCGTGTGCGTGCCACACACCAGCATACATGTTTGCACTCTCTCCCTCCACACTCCCCGCGTACACCATGTACGTGCCACACACCAACCACCAGCATACATGATGAATGCACTCTCTCCCTCCACACAGTGCGTGCCACACACCAGCATACATGATGAATGCACTCTCTCCCTCCACACTCACCACGCACACCGTGTGCGTGCCACACACCAGCATACATGTTTGCATGCACTCTCTCCCTCCTCACCCCGCTCTAGGAGTCGACTTCTACTGGACTTTATTCACATCCGTGGGGCCTAGCAGTTCACATCAGCCACGTGTGATGTGACTCTTCCCAGTCACAGTGAGAGACTGTCTGGTCCCCAGGGAGGTGTATACCCATGAGCGTTAGGCAGGACCAGAGCAATGGTGAGGTCTGTACATGCAGTGTGCAGTCAGCCCCCCTGGCCATGCCAAGGAAGAAAGACCAGGCAATCTGCTTCCATCAAGAGTGGTGGTGGTGGTTATGTGCCATGGAGTCAGTTCTGGCTCTTAGTGACCCTGTATAGGGTCCTGTAAATCTTTACGGGAGCAGAAAACCTCATCTTTGTCCTGTGGAGAGGCTGGTAGATTTTAACTGCTAACCTTACAAGTGGCAGTCCAGCTGGTAATCCACTACCGTGCCAGGGCTCCATCAAGATTATAGGCCAGAAAACCCTACGAATCAGTTACTCGGAATTGACTTGATGCCCCAGTACTGACGCAGACCTGCATGACCATGTGACTTTAAGAATTGGCAGCTCTACAGTGTTTGTTCAGGAAACTCAGTTCAGCATTCTGCTACTTACCGTCTCTAAGAATTCTCCGGATTGCCACCCGATGGCACACTCTGGGATTAGGCCCATATCATTTTGTGAAATCCCCACCCTTCACGTTCTCCAGGGGAGCAGAACTCCAGGCTCCCTGGAATGTGAGCAGTTTGACATTGCTCGGGATTAATGCACCACACAGGGCTTTCAAGTTAATCACATGTTCTGTTTCCTGCTTGTCGATGTTTAAAGCATGATTGATAATCAAACATTACAGCTGTAGTTACTGTCACTGACTACTTTATTCCAGAGTCACTTTCATCCAACTAATTTTGTTTCATTTGTTGTTGTTTTGTTTAAACTTTTCTATTGTGAATTGAGAGTGAAGTTTTACGAACAAAATCATCCATCCATTATACCTTCAACAAATCACACTTTTTTTCATCTCAATGACTGCAGTTTCCTCCCTGCAGCAAGTTATCCCATGTCCTCCCTGTGGTTCTTAGTTCCACTCCACCCTCCTTCCCATCCCTTCCCAACTTTGTCCTTTGGGAAATGCTGCCCTTCTGACTTTGTGTGTGTGTTTAAAACAAAGTATGAGGGTGTTATAACAAAATTCAGGCTACTTGAGTGATGTGCTTTCCTGACAATCTAGGTCAATATGTTTCTACTTAACAAGGAATGTTTTTCAAAATAATCGCTTCCAGTAATCTGGTGGAGATTAAATTGCGTGCCATTGATAGTAACTAAAGCTTCACCCCCATCCTCTCTCTCTCTCATCTTGATCACAGATCTATCTCTCTATGTTCTCTCTCTGCTGTCTCTCCATCTATCTATCTCTATTGTATCTTTATCATCTATTTCTCTATCATCCATCTTTCGCTCCCATCTCTCTCTCTTGCATGTTCCTTGTTCCACCCCGCAGTGTTCTACCTGGTAACCTTCCCCTCAACTACCATCCTACATGTTTTTATCGACTGGTTCTCAGGACATGCTCTTGACACATGTCCATCTTCCTGAGCGTCCATGCCCAGGGCCTCCAGGGTGCTCAGAGACAAAGAGAGATCACACGAGCGTCAGTTGTCTGTCTTCATGGGTCTTCTTTCCTTGTAGGTGTCCCTGTTTGATGAGAGCAGCCTCAGCGGGGCTCGGCGGGGCAGTGCCTCTGGCTCCCGAGCTGTAAGGCAGTTTCTGTGTGTCTGTGGTCCCCGACCTCCCCTGGCCCCTGCATGGTCCCAGGGACATGATGGCATGGAGGGAGACACTCAGTCCTGGTCAGCACTCCTAGGAACCAGTGCCCACAGCCATAAGCCGGCATCAGCCAAGCCTCTTCCCAAATCTACTCACAATGCATGAAGCCCCACACTAAATCTAATGGCTTACTAAGAAAGATTTGAAGATACTTTTATTCTTTTGTGTTTAAAATTAACTGGCTACAAACTAATCTCATTTTAGATTTATGATGACTTTTCTCTGATCATCACGTGTGTTCAGGAATTCTTACCAGCTGTTCCTTTAGCATTTTATTAAACTTTAAATAACCCGTTAAGGTTTATTAAACTTAACGATTCAGTAGGCACTGTTCGTTTTGTTCACACTGAATGAAACATTTATCAATTTTTCTATTGCATGGATTCCACAGTATGAAATATTTTTCCCAGTTCTTCAATATTTTGGTAGACCATTGGAAGTCCATGAACTGTGACTAATTTGAGTCAAATTGACTTGATGCTGGTGGGGTTTTGTTTTGTTTTGTTTTTAATGGATGAAATATCCCCAGACTATGATCTCAATGGATAAAATACACCAAAGCGATTGGTTTTCATTAGAAGAGGCAGCAAACAGATTCTTTAAGAAAAAGAAACATTCCAAATATATATATATATGTATTTGTTGTTGTTAAGTGCTATCGATTCGCTTCTGACTCATAGCAACCCCATAGAGGGTTTTGGAGGAGCGGCTGGTAAGCTTGAACTACTGACCTTACGGTTCAAACCGGCCTTTCGGTCCAGCACATTAACCTGCAGCACCACATCAGGAGTCCATATATAGATAATTCTGGTGTGTTGCTGTAGGATAAGCATTGGACTGCTAACTACAAGGTCAGCAGTTCAAACCCATCAGATGAGCCTTTCTGCTCCAGGAAAGATGGACACCCTCGGAAACCCTATACAGTGTCACTATGAGTTGGAGCCAACTCGATGGCAGTAAGCTCGGTGTTTGTTTGTTTCGATTGCTATTATTTCATTTGGGTTTTGAATAGTCAGTAGGAGCTTGGGTAGTGCAATGGTAAAGTGCTCAACTGCTCACCAAAAGATTGGTGGTTCAAACCCACACAGCGGCTCCATGGGAGAAACCCTGGTGTTCTGCTCCGGGGATAGACCACAGCCAAGAAAACCCTTGACCAAAACCCACTCCACAGCATGAGGAGGCACCTGGGTGGTAACAAGTGGTTTGTGATCACCTGCTAACTGAAAGATTGATGGTTCTAACCCAGCCAGCAGCTCCAGGGGAAAAGGACCTGATTGGCAATCTGCTTTCACAAAGATCCCAAGCCTACCCCACCGCCGTAGTGCCGATTCGGACTCAAGTAACCCTGGAGGACAGGACAGAACTGCCCCCATAGGGCTCCCGAGCGTCTTACCTTTACAGACGCAGTCGGCCTCATCTCTCTCCCAGGGAGCAGCTGGCGGGTTTGAACTGCTGAGTCACCAGACCTCCTTAATGTAAAGGTCATAGCCGGGAGAGTCCCATGGAGCGGTTCTGCTCTATCACACTGTGAGAAATGTCGTCGATACTGACAAAAACTCTGGTAATCCAATCTGTACTCATTTTAGATAGAGTGAAGTTTTCTTTATTCGATTTTGCAAAATCGAGCGCCCAGCCCAGTAGACATGGGCAGATACGCTGCAAGGCCGGCCTGCAAATATTTTCATGCCCCTGTCTCGAAAAAGCCCCTCCTGCAGTTCTACAGTCTAGCCCGAATGGTGCCTAGGGTCTTAGTGACTGTATTCTTAAAGTTCCTAGTCCTAGAACAGGTTTCCTTCCCCACTATCCCCAGTTCATCCTGCTCACACAGCCCTGGGTAGGAATCAACAACCTACATCTGATCTAGCAAGCTCGTGCACCCTTACTCCTGAAGATGGACCCTTTTGAGAATTTCTCACAATGTGAGTCGGAACCGACTCAACAAACAGATAACCCTCATGCCACAAGAGATTTGTGATTGGCTGCTAATGGAAAAAGGCTGGTGGTTCGAACCCACCCAGAGCTCCATGAAAGCAAAGACCTTGCAGCCTGCTCCTGTAAATCCCAGAAAGCCCAACGGGGCAGCTCTACTCTGTTCTACATGTTCGTCTCTGTAGCAGGAGTTGTGAGCAGATCAACAGCAGTGGACAGTGACAATAGGTGGTTAGTGGGGGCCAGATGTGTGTCTCCTTAAACATCTACTTGAGGTGGAGCTGGGCCGAGCCCTCCATTCAGCCTCCCGGGCTGAGTCTCTGCTGTGCAGCTGGTACATCCATGTTGCCAGCTTCAGAGGGACTGTCCAGGCGGGAAAGCTTTAGTGGAGTCTGGAGCATGGATGCCCTGGGATGGGACAGCTTGTCCCTGCCTTGAAGTCCTCCGAGAAGGTTCTCTTCTACCCGAAAGGCGCTCAGCCACATTGAACTGAGATGAGACCCCTCCCAGGAATCCTTTGGACTGGAGGCTCTTCTGCTAAGGGCACTGGGCCCCTGAGTACCTTTGGCTCTGGAGTCAGGGGACTTGAGTGGAGGTGAGCTCTGCCCACAGTAGCTCTTGCTGTCTCAGCTGTGCAAACTGGGTGTGAGTGACAGAATACTCTAGGATTGTCTCCACGGTGGGGTTTTCCACAGAAGGAAAACATCTCTGCTGCCACCCTCCTTACCTTTACTGCTTAGTTCCCCAGGAGAGTCAGGAGGAGAGGAGGGTGCAGTTGAGATCTGAATCCCTTCCTGAGGTGTGGGATCCTGTCTCGTGTCTGTAAACCAAGGAAAAGGCCTCCCTCCTGAGATGGCTGACGTTAGGTGTTTTACTCTCATATGAACAACCTAGACTGGGGAGACGGGAATCTTGTAAAGCTCTATGTAGTCCTGGAGCCTGGCAGGTGGGGTGTCTGTTACCTGTAGCTCCCCATTAAAGGAATGAGGACAGATAGGTTGGGCTTAGAGGACCTGCTCGCCTTGACCACGGCCCCACAAAACATCTGCTTTTGAGTGGCACCACTTGTGGCTGTTTAGAGATTAACATTGGACCCGACCATTAACTCATCCGGTTTTTCTCAAGTGCGGCAGGAACCATCTGGCTTAGGGGCTTTGGCAGGATGTAGATTCAGAGTCTGTCCTTGGGAAGGTTACATTCTGGTGGGAATAGATCCAGCCTGGGAGAGAGTTGAGAGTGCCCTGAGATGCTTGGGATCTGCTTTGGGGACAGTGTCCATAGATTACGTTTGGGGCCAGGAATCCTGGTAGGCACATACAACCATCCAGGGAGACTGAAATCAGGAGGCCTTCGTCACGGATGGGGTTCACCCGCTGGGCAGTGCCCCTGGGGGGCTGTGCAAGTCTCTCTTGGAAGGTAGTCCTCATAAAGGGTCAGCGTCTTCTCTGTACTGTGGTTCTGGTCAAGGGTACTGCCCCCCTCCACCCCACACCCTGCTCAAGAGGAAAATAGAGTCGTTGTTGTTTTCAGTAACATGAACATATAACAAGAGACAAGAACAAATATGTATATAAGTCAAAACTAACAGACCATCGCTTCCAGATACATGAGTTGCTGGTGTTTTCCTTGGCCAAAGAGAGAGTCTGGATGGATGGGTGGGTGGGTGGTTAGTTGGATAGAGAGATGAGTGAGTAGATGGATGGATGGGTGGGTGGGTGGTAAGTTGGATAGAGAGATGAGTGAGTGGATGGATAGATGGGTGGGTGGGTGGGTGGTTAGTTGGATAGAGAGATGAGTGAGTGAATGGATGGATGGATGAATGGGTGGGTGGGTGGGTGGACAGACCAACCTGTGGATAGACACATACATACCTACATACCTACATAGAAGAACATGTAGGCATACACACAAAAAAAATGTATGGAGAACTATATAGAAAGTAATCTTGCACATTTGAAGAAAACATAATTTGGAAGTTGTGGTGGCAAATGTTTGGTGTATATATTTTCACGACAAGGAAAAAAAAAATGTTTTAATACAGTTTTGTGTTAACCGTGAACCCGTTTGTTTCTACTTGTTAAAATAGCAGAGAAGCAAAACTGTCCATTACTAAAAAGTCCAGTTCCTCACCCGATTCTTCAGTGTCTGCCCTGGAAATAGCTCCCAAGTTTATCTCAAAAACAGTTTTCTTCATGCCTGTCGAGTCATTTTCTGTATATCACCTAGGTGTGATGCCACACCAAGTTGAAAGGGAGTTTTGTACTATTTTCTTTTTATCAACTGAGAATCCCATGTTCTTGTGCTGCTCCGGTCATTATCTTTATCCTCGGTGGGCATGTATTTAGACATGTGGTTCTAAGGGGCACTCCTGGTATCTAACACTAACCCTCTTTATCCCACAATGCGAGCGGCTAACCGCACACTAACAACACCTTCTGCCAGGTATGCCCGCTGTCCTCACACCTTTGCTGACTCTGTTCCTCTGTTTCTGTCTGTGTCCGGGGCTGCGGTGGGCTGTGTGGACAGCCCTCAGAATACAGCGGCTACTTCAACTCCAGCTCTCGAGCCTCCTCTCGGGCCAGCTCGGCCCGCGCCAGCCCCGTGGTGAGTCTGTGCCTCGTCTCTGTCTCGGACCCTTGGCTCCCTTTTCTCTGCTCCTTTCCCTTCATCATACCCTCTCCTTCTCTGTTTGTTCACAGTACCCACCTCCCTCTAAAACCTGCATCTAGAATGAAGCCAGAAGGGGTCCCTATGTCTTAGTTCATGTCTGCATGAGTGGAATTGGGAAAGATTTGAAATGCAGGCATACCTCGTTTCATTGCAGGTCGCCGAGACTGCATTTTTCCTTTTTTTTTTTTACACATTGAGAGTTCAGGGCCACTGAACTGAGCAGTTCTCTTGGTGCTGTTTGTCCAGCGGCATGTGCTCACCTTGAGTCTGCCTCTTGCTGGTCAGCCCCATGTGTTTTGCACTTTCCTCGTGCACTTCACCGATGACTCAATAGTGACATCACACAATAGTGACATCACTCTTCTGTATGGGGGGAACCAGAACATGCTTGTGCTTATACACTCCACTGCGATCCTCACTTGATTCTGGTGGTCTCGAATTGAACCAGCAATGTCTCCGAGGTCTGCCTGTTGGACCCTTCAGCAATGTTCTTAGGATTGCATTGCTAAATCCCTAAAGGGCCAGGACCGAAACTTGTAACCAAGCCAGAGGAGGGAGGCTCCATGGGAGAAGGGAAACTGTGTGGGGCATGGGGGGTGTGCCCCTGCACGATGTGTTGTTTTGTCTGTGTGTTTGTGGAGTTTTTTATGATTTAAAAAATATGAAGGATTGAATTTTTGTGTTTGGTTTGACATGTTACCTGTAATTGGACCCAGGAAGTTTCAGAATGGTATGTCGGTGGGTGAGTGCTGTTACAACTCTGGTTCTTCTCAGAAGATTGAGCAGATGCAGAAGCCAGAACTGCAGAGAAGAGCCAGCCTTCTCCCACTCCACAGCTCATCCCAAGTTTTTATTGTGAACTGAGTGAAAGTTTACAGGGCAGATCATCAGTTTGGCACTCAACAAATCATACAGTTTGTTTCATTACAATGTCTTCCCTGTTTTTTAATGATCTGCATTTATAACTGAAAAGACTTAGACACGTGCATGTGTTTACACTCGTCTACACTGAGTTCCCAGTGGAAGCTCTCAGAAAGTTGACCGAGCTGGGCTATCAAGACAGAGTTCTATGGGTTAAGCAGTTTGCATCCACCTGCCTCTCCAAGAGAGAAAGATAGGCAGTCTGCTTCCAGAAAGGTTTAGTCATAGAAACGCTATGGGGCTGTTCTGCTCTGTCCTGTAGGGGGCGTTGTCGGGCAGAATCGACTCCACACGATGGATTTGGTTTGGGGTCTTTCAGTCCATCACTGACATGGCAGTTGGATGTTTCTCTTTCTTCTGGAGTCGGTTGCCCCTCTTACACTGGTAGGCTGTGTAAGAGTGTGTGTGTGTGTGTGTGTGTGTGTGTGTGTGTGTGTGTGTGTGTGTGTGCTGTGTGGGGACCTGTTCCCCGACTCTGGGCACACTCCTGTTGCTTGGTGACCCTGAAGCACCTCCGATGTGTGCTTGTTAGGACTGCAGAGACCTCTTTGGCAGGTGCAGGACTCAGGTCTGTGGCTGCCCCAGAGCAGCTGGGCCTGTGAGGACATCCAGGGCAGAAGGGCTCCCAGAAGTTGCTCATCCCCAAGGTCTGCAGAAAGCGCTGAAGACACAGCTTAGTTCTTCTCTCCATCCCAAAGCTCAGGATTCAACACTCACTCTGGACTGTTTCCACTTCCTCAGTCCCAGGGTGATGATGTGCTGCACACAGAAAGCGTTACTTGACGTATTTGGGCTTGTTGATTGGGAGGAAGCTGATAGAGACTCGTCAGAATCATCACAGGAACTCGGTACTGGCCTCCCCGCAGCAGGGAGACAGATGGCCGGGGCCAGCGGCCAAACAAATCTGGTGTAGCTGGGCTTCCCCGGGAGAGGAGTTCAAATCTCAGGCCCTTACTCCTAACTGAGTCTGGCCAGCCACGTAACCCTCCTGAGCTTCAGTGGGAAGAAGGGGTCCTTCCACCTTTAAACCCCTAAACCAAACCCCAGTGCTGTCCAGTGGACTGGGCTCACCGTAACCCAATGGAACGGAGTGGAACTGTTTCCAAGTTTAGTGTTTCCAAGACTAGTCCTGACTAGACCCTATATGGGGTCGCTATGAGTCAGAACCAACAAAAATCAGTCTTCAAAGGCACAGATTGCCTCATCTTTCTCCTAAGGAGTGACTGGTGAATTCTAACCACCAACCTTAAAGTTGGCAGCACAGTGCTTCCCCCACCACACCACCTGGGCTCCTTAGATGCTGTCCAAGGTGGGCGCTGCAGGGCCACACAGCGCTCAGATCACACGCACGGCGCCCCCTGGTGGAGAATGCTGCCTCGTCCCCTCCTGCCTGCTTTGTCTCCTCCTTTAGGGAAGCAAATGCATTGTGCCCATCTAATTAGGAAAACAAGGAGCTCTGGTAGCTTAGTGGTTACCAATCGGGCTGTGAACCACAAGGTCAGCAGTTTGAAACTACCAGATGTTCCGCGGGAGAAAGATGAGGCTTTCTGCTCCCGTAAAGATTTACAGCCTTGCAAACCCTGTACAGGGTCGCTATGAGTCGGGACCGACTCCACGGCACATAACAACAACAACAAATTAGTAAAACACTCAAACTGGTATTGCCTTCCTATGTGCAGAAGGGATTGGGGCTAGCAGTCATAACAGATTTGCTCCAACTTTCATTTAGAGCTTCGTTTTTCTCGGCATGACCTAACACACCCTGAACTACATCATTTGGAGTCTGTTACAAACTTCACAGCAAAGACTTCTGTTAGAAAAAGAGCAAACTGACTTGAGGGTTTGTTTTCTTCCCTTATTCCTGATTGTACATTTTACTTTTCCAAATTACAAAAGTGACCTATGTTTGTGGTCACACGTGAAAGCCCACAGAACAAAGGCGTCTGTTCAAAGACCAATCAAACACACCCCTCCCCCACCAACCCACCTCAAAACCCGCACGCAGGGCACTGATGTGTATTCTTCCTCAGCTTTCTACAAGAAATACTCAAACTAAACAGGGCGGAGACCTTCATTTAGGAGCACAGATATTCGTATGTGAACATGTGGGTTTCTGGGACTAGGTGTGTTCACACATCCTATATATGTGACCCTGAAGAACAGTCAGAAAACACACCGGGTAAATTTAGGAGCTGGAGAGCAGCCAACTTACCAGCGGCAACTTGGCAACTTGAAATTGAATCTCCTCAGTAGTTAATTACCTCCCATGTTTTCATATTGATAACGTTTGCTCAGCAAGCTAGCATTCTCATCTAGGGAACCAGGGCTTTGGGTCCAGGAGAGTTAAATTAAATCCCCCCCACGGGTAACTGAGGATCAGGCAGGTGAGGTTTTCATAGTTATTTGAGATTGAAACATCCCATGATAAATGCTAAAATCGTCGGTACAACTCAGAATGTCAGCCCAAGGCTCTCCAGAGCTGTCCAGAGATGAAAAGATAGGACACTCGGGCCACCTGACAGCCCCAGATTGTCTGGTGTGGTGAATGTGACGTGCTCATCAGAAAGTCACTTTACACACACCAACTACACCTTTAGAATGGTTTGTGGATTCCTCGCCTTGGCTGAGACCTACACTCAGAACTGGAAGAAATCCACAAAGTCCACCTGTGTAGTTCAGTCCCATATGAGTTGTGTGTCTGTCTGCAATCCATGTGTATTTATTATATATGGACCTATGTCTGCTCTTGTGAGAATCACGAATGTTTGAGACCCAGACAAGTAAGCCCACCTGCCCACCAGACAGATGCATATAGGAAACACTGCAACGTCCTTTTTAAAAATACGGAGGTGCTTATAATCATTTTACTCCCGAGTCCAGCTTCCCTTGAGTGTGTTTAACTATCTAATATCTGTCCATTTTCCTCTGTAGGTTGAAGAGAGACCAGAAAAAGACTTTGCTGAGAAGGTAAGTTATTGCTGGAAGATTTATTATGAGGTTGTTTGTAAATCTGGGAGGTCCCAGTGTTTAGAGATGGAACTGACAAGAGACAGTGTTGCTCAGTGTTTAGCAAAAATGGCCACCAGTGTGAACATCGGACCAGTCAGTGGCTCACCAAACTGGTGCCCTTCTGTCCAGAGCACCCTGGGAGTCCCCTCCAATATGGATGTAAAACCCCGCAGATCAGGAACGTCTTCAGGATGGTCCAACCATGGAGCCTGAGAGCCACCCAGACAAATCCTGAAGCTTCCACGTGGGCCCTCAAAACAGATCTCTTTGTATTAGCATTAGACAGTCCCTGGAGAAGGACATCATGCTAAGTAAAGTGGAGGGTCAATGAAAAAGGAGACCTCTAACAAGATGGATTGGTACAGTGGCAGCAGCAGTGGGCTTAAGCTTAGTAATGATTGTGAGGTTGGTGCAGAGTTTTGCTCTGTTGTGCATAAGGTCTCTCTGAGTCAGAACCAACTCGAGGGCACCTAACAACAGCCCAATGAGGATTTTCCCATTTGGAACTGAAGTTAAAGCAGAGATATACTATCATCTGAACCATGTCTATCATTTTGATATTGTCTGAAATTGTGTTTTGATCCCCACAACTATTCTAGGGGTCTCGTAACATGCCCAGCTTGTCCGCAGCCACCCTGGCATCTCTGGGTGGAACGTCCTCCCGAAGAGGGAGTGGGGACACTTCCGTCTCCATTGACACCGAGGCGTCCATGAGGGAAATCAAGGTAAGGACCTCTTCACTTCCTTAGGACTCCCAAGAATCTTGCCTGAAAGCCTGTCTCCAAATCTGAAACAGATTTCATTCCTAACATTCTGGGTCTTGAATGTCCTTCTGCTCACACCCATAAACACGGTGGTGAGGACCACCAAGTTGAGTGCAGCCCCCACTGCCTGCAGGAAGCCGGTCCTGACCTGCCCCACCCCGCCAAGGCACACTCTGTTCCTGTGCCCTCTCTGGTCCTACCTGTGGAGAACACATTGTGTTGATGTAGGCAGTCATGTGTGGGTCCTGAGTATGCATAGACACTCAGTCTACGGGTTCTGGAATGTTCTGGGCATTGGTTTGCTTCCTGTTCCCACACCACCCTGGCTTCCAGTATCTCTCCCTCTGTGCCTTTATGTTTGTGAAACAGCTTTAGGAGACCACAGGACACTGCCATCCGCCTCCTTGGTGGTTTTCTGCTCACTAGCACATCTGTATTATCCTCTGCTGCCTCTTTGGCCCAGGCTTCTGTTTGGCAACACACGTAGAAACATAACTCCACTTGATAAAGTAACTGGGGAGGGGGGGGTGGGAGGGGGATGTTGCATCCTAAAAAGAGCAGACCAGGCAGGTGGAAGGTGAACCAGGCCCCTAAGAGTAACCCAATTTATCTTTCAGAAGGTCACGGAACTTTGTAACTTTGTATTGTATAGAAGGTAGAGGGAAGAACTTACAGGGGTCAGTGTGGCTAATAATTAAACCTGTCAGCCCCAACTCACGGTGCTCCATGTGCATCCAAGTCAAACTGTGCTCCACAGGGTCTTCAGGGGTGGATTTTTGCGGCAGTAGATAGCCAGGCATTTATTCTGAGGTGCTTCTGGGTGCCTTTTGGTGAGCACCCAAGCAGATGCACTATGTGTATCAGCCAGGGACTGGCCCTCAGCATAGGGTGACACTTAGGGTTGGAGAAGGAAGTATACCACTGTTGGTTAAAAGTCACTTGGGGCCATTACACCCAACAGAGAAGCTCAGAGAGGAATAAGCTTATGTTTCTTGAACGCTGTGTCCTCTGGGGCTGAGCCAGGGCCATCGGGAGGGACTTCTATACATCAGCTGGATGTATGGAAGAGTAGGTTCCACGCTGCCCCTGGTGATGTCCACACACCTCATGGTCATTTGCAGAGAAGGTAGAGATGGTTGGGCAGAGCCACCTGCAAGATGCCTCCCAGCTGCATAAATGTTTGGGCTCAGAAAGCAGAGCACACCCGAGGCTCTTCCTTAGGTGTCCATAGCTCCAGCAGGTCCCGCGGCTCTGGTCCTGCCATCGTTCCATTGAAGCGGAGTTTGCTGCAATCACAGTGTGTCTGTGGCCTCGGGTGGTGAGTGCCATTTGCTGTTCATATGCTCAGCGAGTATCTACTGAGAGGCGCTTACCCCAGGCACAGGCAGGGGCGACAGGGATTCAGTGATGGACGAATCAGAGGACAGAGTTGGCGCTCATATCAATGCAAGGACAAGGCTTTGCTGATTTTCATCCCCAACTTCTCCTCTTGTCTAGCAGAGTAGGAACTCAGACTGCCTGAAAGAATCATTAAATAGGAGCAAAAGAACTTGCATTTTCCAAAGTTATTGTGTCTGTTGGGTTTTGTTTTTTTTAAGGTTTTTATTGTGGATTGAATGAACATTTACAGGGCAGATCATCAGTTTTACATTCAACAATTCATACACCTTTTTCATTACAATGATTATAATCCCCTCCATGTACCATCAGTTAACACTATTTCTCTCTATTCACTTTAGCTCTTTTTTTTATTTAATTATGCCTGTTTTTTTTTTAAAAAGTGTGCAAAAATGAGATGCAAAATCTAAACCAAACCCACTGTCAATTCTGCCTCTTGGGGTCCCTGTGCATCACAGAGTAGAACGGATCCACAGGGTTTTCATGACTGCCGTGCTTTATGGATGCTGACTGCCAGGTCTTTCTTCCACGGCACTGCTGAATAGGTTCGTGAGCAGTTTACAAACCGCTTGCACCATCCAGACATCCACCTAAATTTTCATCTTTGTTATTGTTATTAAGTACCATTGAGTCACTTTCAACTTACAGTGACCCTGTATAGGATTTCTGAGAAGCAGTTGGTGAGTTTGAACCACTGACCTTGTAGTTCAAACCGACCTCGTTCTCTAGTATTTATCCCACGGTGCCACACCAGGACTTTGTGGTATAAAAATTTACTTGGTTTTCATTCGACAAACACTTAAAAGAAAAATCAGTACTCACACTGCCCAAATGAAAACCTGTGAGAAGAACACAAAATCTGAAAAGAACTTCTTCTCTAAAAAAGGAATCGCCTCTCTTTCTCCATGACTTTGGACATCATCCGCCTCTTTTTTGCCGTTTCTCCCAGGAGCTCAATGAATTAAAGGACCAGATTCAGGATGTAGAAGGAAAATATTTTCAGGGACTAAAAGACATGAAGGTACCAGTAGACAACAAGTGTGGGCTTGTAATATTAACCCAACTTAACTCAAAGGGAAAAAAATTCCTAAGGGAGAGTCTCACAGTGCATGCTGCATGCTGAAGACACTCTGGATGGTGGTCATCAAGTTGGCAGCAGTGCTGGCCTTCGTGTGAACCACTTGGTTAAGTACAGTTTTGAACCAAGACTTAACTGTGCCTCCTCAGTAGAGAATGTTACTAATAAATATCCCAGCGGCATGCTCAGTACTCACCCTACTACCCCATCCTATCGTAAAAGCCTGCTCTCATTTGCTTCCCCCACCCCCCAAAACATAGCAGACCCTGAAAGAAGGGGTTTAGGTTTCCTCCCTTTCCACAGTAGTTATGTATAAGCAGTGTTCTACTCCGCTTATTTCTCACGGGTCCCAACACAGCATGCTTTTGAAACTTGCAAATGATCCACTGTCCCTGTGTGTATCCTCTTGGATTTATCTGAGTGTGTGCGAGCCACCTTTAGAATGTGAAATGGTGACATCATTATCAGTTGGGAAATGTGGTTACCAGGTTCCTTGAAGACAAGGTGAGGATGTGGCCTACATGTCTTCTTTCGGGGTCTCCACGAGGGAGCTTCTAGCCCATCAGCCATCCAGCAGTTGCTGATGGATCTCTTTGTTCCTTGAAGCTCCTAGAAAGTATGTGGAAAACAGTCTGAATTCACAATCACATGGGCACCAGAGAGAGGGTGACACGAATCATGTGACTGATTGGCCTTTGTCATGTCTGTCTCCTCCGTGGTGGTGCCATCAAGTCGGTTCTGCCTCATGGTGCGCTCAGCGTAGACGTGCTGACAGAGTTGAAGTGTCCATCGTTTCCTAGGCTCCCGTGGAACCACTGTTGTTGTTAAATGCCATCGAGTGGATTCCAGCTCCTAGCGGCCCTGTGTAGGTTCCCAGGGAGCAGCTGGTGGCTTTGCAGTGCCAACTTTGTGGCTCGCAGGACAGTGCTGACCTGACCGTACAGCGCCACCCCAGGAGCACATGGAACCACTGTTGTTGAGTGCTGTGATTCATAGTGACCCTGCATTTCCCAGGGAGCAGCAGCTGGGTTGGAGTCACTGACCTTGTAATCAGCAGACCCGTGTTTATCCTACAGACCACATCAGGACCCCAGTTGTTGCTGTCAAGTCAGTTCCTACTCATAGTGACCCTGCATAGGGTTTTCGAGGCTTTAAATCTCTATGGGAGCAGAAAGCCTTATCTTTCTCCTGAGGAAGGGCTGGGAGTTTCAAACTGCTGACCTTGAGATTAACAATCTGATTCGTAACCACTATGTTACCAGAGCTCCTTAGGACTCCAATTGTTGTTGTTGTTAAGTGCAGTCCAGTCGATTCCAACCCATAGCAACCTTGTATAGGGTTTCCAAGGAGCAGCTGGTGAGCTTGAACCACCAACCTTGTGGTTCAAATGACTTTGCAGTCCAGCACATTAACCCACAACACCACACCAGGACTCCAGTTGTTGTTAAGCACTGTGGAGCCGGTTCCGACTCATAGTGACCCTGTACAGGGTTTCCGAGGCTGTAAATCCTTATGGGGACAGAAAGGCTCATCTTTCTCCCACGGAGCAGCTTTTAGTTTCGAATTGCTGATGCTGAGGATAGCAGCCTGATTTGTAACCACTACGCTACCAGAGGACTCCAATTAGGTGGGTTGAAATTGCCCACATCATAGTGAAGGCTGACTGTATAATGGTTGCACCAGCAGGGGAAACATTGAGACTCTGGTGGCTTGATTCATGTAGAATATGAACCGCTGGACCAGCCCAGGAACCACTGGTCCCCCCTAAAGTTGTCCCTTCATTTGGGAGTACAGGGTGACCCGCGTGGAGCCTCCTGTAACACACAATACGCTTGGCCAAGAAGGGCTCATGTCTCTCTCTCGCGTTGGAGTATTTGCACCTGCTGAATCCACTGCTCTGTTCTCCTGGAGTGCCCACCTGGTTCGTGTTCGGGGTCTAACACCAAGTGCTACGCCAGGTGATGGCGTCACCCTGAACCGTTCTGGCCTCGCTCTGGGATGTCCTTCCAAAGGAATGGCGTTGGTTTTTCCAGGACGTATCTAGTGAGACCTATGTGCTTTGTCTAGCTCCTTTTTGGGTCAAGAAGTATGCAAAGGACAAAGTGCACTGGGTCAACCTGCTGCAGAAGACCTTTACAGTGTTTGTTCAGAAGCAAAGATGTCACTTTGAGGATTAAGGAGCACCTGGTCCATATGCCTGGGAAAGGTAGACAGTGTATAAGGAAGACTGCAACAAGAGAACTGATGCCTTGAAATCATGATATCGATGAAGAGTATCGAATATGCCACAGACTGCCAGAAGAAACAGCAAACCTGTGTTGAAGGAGGTACAGCTAGATGCTCCTTAGAATCGAAGCTAGCGAGACTTTGTCTCTCTTTCTTTTAGACATGTTGTCTGGCGGGACCACTCCCCGGAGAAGGACATCACGCTTGGTAAAGTGGAGGGTTAACAGAACAGGCAAGACCCTCAATGATATGAATTGACACGGTGCCAGCAACATTGGCCTCAAACATAACATGGCGCGGCAGTGGTTCCATCTGTTGTGGGTGCGGTCGCTGTGAGTCAGCATAGACCAAGAATCTGAAATTGCCATTTAATATTTTCCTGGCTTGTACACCAAAATCAGGGTGATCATCAGTTGCTTTTGGCAAGTGTTGAGTTTTATTAGCAACCCTCGCGGGCTCTGTCCCAGGCGCTGAGTAGATAATTTAAGAGATTATCTCAGAAACCTGTTCAACAACTGAAACACGGAAGCTTCTCTGGCTCCAAGGTCGTGTCCTGCTGTTTGTATTGGCTGCAATGGAGCATCTGTGTTTAGAGGCAGCGACTGTTCTGCTGGTGGGACCAGAGCCCTTTCTGTTCTGTGTGTCCTTGGTCTAACAAGCACACTTTGTTTTCGTTCCTAGGATTGAGTCCACTGTAACTTGCAGCAATCCTATAGGACACAACTGAACTGCTCTACAGGGTGTCCACTATGAGTCAGAACCAACTCCACGGCATACCACCACCACCTCCACCACCTCCACTACCACCACCACCTCCACCACCTAGAGGGATGTCAAAACTGCCCAATCCCCACACTAGGGTTCCGTACACCTAATTTCTTGGTCTCATCCCACAAGGGTGTGGAGTACCTAATTTACATGATCAGCAAGCTGTCCAATCCTCTTGGTGGGCCACAAGCACCTCTTATTACCGTAGTCCCACCCAGTCATTTGAGGCCCTGGTGGTATAGTAGGTTTAGTCATTTGGTGAAGGTCGCAATGACTATGACCAGAAGAGCCATCCTGAGTTTTTCACGGCACTGCCCAGCCAGATGCTTCGCCATTGAGCCCCCAGGGTACAGTTAGTTCATCATCATCAAGTGGACCCCTGTAGGGTTTCTGAGAAGTGGCTGGTGGGTTTGAACTGCCAATCTTTCTGTTAGCAGTCCAGTGCCGTCTTCCAGCACCACACCAGGACTCCACTGGGAACAGTTAAACTGAAACTGCATGTCTGTCTTATTCTGATTCATTTACTCAAAGAAATGAAGTCTGAATTTAGGGCTGAGTCTAACTCAGTCTCCTTATTTTTGTTCCTAGGCATTTGAAATTGTCATGCGTTTGTTATTTAATTCATTTGTTCTGAGAACTAGTCTGAATTTAAAGCAGAGGGTTTTCTCTCAATGTTTTGAAAGAATACTGGACTAAGGTTGGGCTCACTGCCATTTCACAGCTGTGCCTTGATTATGGCAGGACTCGCTAGTGGAGGTTGAAGAGAAGTACAAGAAGGCGATGGTATCCAATGCCCAGCTGGACAATGAGAAGACCAACTTCATGTACCAGGTGGACGCCCTCAAGGACACGTTGCTGGAGCTGGAGGAAGAGCTGGCTGAATCCAGGCGGCAGTATGAAGAGAAAAACAAAGTAAGCTGCAGGCTGATGAAGAACAGTGTTGTTGGGGCGGGGGTGGAGTGTCCCAGGCTGACACATTTATGGAGACAGGCCCCAGCCTTGCTCCCAGGTGGACACCAGGTGGGATTGAACCACCAAACTATTGGGTAACCGTGGAGCTCTTGGCCATGACGTGCTGGGCTCCTTATAAAGACTGACAGCCCCAGGGACACATGCAGGTGGGCCTCAGTGCAGACCACAGCAGTACAGCAGGGGTCACAAGAGTGTTTTGGTTTCCCGCTGCATGGACAGATGGTGGGTCACAGCACACTAGTCGAGGACGTATGCAGTGGCTTGATGAGAATGTCTGAAATATTGTAGCAACAACTGAAACGGACGCAGAGATACGCAGGGTGCACAGGCTCCTGGAAACTGGCGGCTCTGTTCTTGCTGGGCACAGAGCTGCCATGCCGCCTCCATATATCAGACACAGTGTCTGCCGAGTGTGGCAAAGCCCGCTCTCTGTGTGTGCTCACATGGGTGCAAGGCATCAAAAGGTGGGATCAAAATTCCATCTTTTCTTTCCATTTCTCTATGAACTTTTGAAGCTCCTCCAAACATGTATATACACACAGACACGTGCACAGAAGAATGTGTATGCTCACACATTTACACTCATCTACATACGCACGTGTGAATGTGTACATGCATGTACATAAGACAGGCATGCATACATACACGTGTTTGTATATACACACACGTGTGTATTTACTTCTTGTTATTGTTCAATGCCATCAAAGTAGTTCCAACTCTTAGCGACCCTGTATAGGGTTTCCGAGGAATGGCTGGTGAGTTTGAACCACTAACCTTGTGGTTCACACTACCATTAAGATCCGGTGGTTTATCCCACAGCGCCCCACCAGGACCCCATGTGTATGCATGCATGCGCATATATGCACGTGTGTATGCACACATGCACACTGTATACACACAAGTATATGCACACACCTGTAGTTCTCCACTGGTCCAGGAAGTACAAACATCTGAGAGGAAAAACACCACATTCTTTGCTGAGTGGTTGGAAATAATAATGTGCGGAATTTCAGCAAGTAAAGTAGAGGTCGTTTTCCTAGGAGAAAGCTCATGTTTCCAATGACACGTAGAGACATCACCATGAAGAAGTAGCCTATAAACCACCAGCATGTTTGTGGCTAGACCATGACTAGCTGGGTGAAGGTCCCTGTTCATCTATGTCCTCTACTTTTTTATTCTCTGATTTGCTAGCACAGGACAGAAATTGTCCCAAATATCAAGAATTTAATAAAATTATAGTCGTTTACTTTCTGGGGGAACCACAGCTGTCGTTTTGGCAGTTACATCAAGGCTGTGTTTGTAGTTGGACAGCTTTTAGGAGTCTCTTAAAGGTGCACTCCCACTGACGCTTGAATGCTGATTTTCCTCCTTCACAGGAATTTGAAAGGGAGAAACATGCCCACAGCGTCCTGCAGTTTCAGTTCGCTGAGGTGAAGGAGGCCCTGAAGCAACGAGAAGAAATGCTTGAAGTAGGTAGCATTTCCCTGGTCTTCTTGTCGTCTTTGGATTTTGAGTATTTTGTTGGTTCATTACTAAAGTTAACCGTTTTCTCAAAAATGGAGTTTGGGCCCAGTTCTCCGTGTCTCTCTTAAGACTGTTCTTCTCCTTGGCAGATCTCCATTTGGTCATTTTCATATCTGTCTAGGGGAGGCATGGGAAACAGAATAATGGGCCCCCCCAGGTGTCCACGTCCTCGCCCCCAGAAACTGTGGTTTTGCCGATGTGATTAGATTCAGGGTGTTAATTCGAGGAGAATATTCTAGATGACCTGAGTGGGCCCGGGGCTGGAAGGTCAAAGGCAGAAGTGGGAGGTGGGGCTGTGCTAGCAGAGGCTGGAGTGATGGAGTCTTGGGCTTCGAGAAAGAATGTCAGTGGGCTCTGGAAGCTGCACTAGGCAACAGCCTTGCTGCCCACAGGCAGACATCTAACCCACAGGCTGATGAGCAAATGCAGATGTCCAGGCAGATCTCGAGCATGTTGTGAGTGCTCTTCCAGACCACCGAATTAAAGTGACTGTCTCTAGTCAGCGTATCACACCGATGTGTGGTGGCTTGTTTCCCAAGGCACTGAGACGTTATGTTGACACTAGCTGGTAGTCTGTTAAGTGTGCAATAGCACAATGAGAAAGTTTAAACTTGTGAGAATGAGTTTAACGCACACACGCTGTTGGAAACATGGCACCGAGAGACCGCGTGGACACGGGCTTGCCATGAACCTGCCATTGGTAACAGTGCAGAATCTGACTGGCGGTCAAGGGAAGCTCCTTAAAATCCTGTATCCCTGGATTGTCGTAAGCCATTTCGTTTGTGGTGGTTTGTTGTAGCAACCATTGGACAGGAATGCAGAAGGCTGCTTCTGTTTTTATTTACCTTAGTCAACACGTCCACTGGTTCCTCGGTCTGGGTACAAATTCGCCTAAGCAGGTTGCTTCTTCCCAGCCAGGGAGGGGAGGGATTCTAAAATGCCCACAGTGAATTCCAGACTGGAGTGTGCCCCCCACCCCCCGCAGAGCACACAGCTTTTCCTTCCTGTTTAACCCTTTCTTTGCTTTCTTTCTCTCTCTGTTCCTGCTCCCCAGGAAATCCGACAGCTACAGCAGAAACAGGCGAATTGTATCAGGGAGATTTCTGACCTTCAGGAAACTGTAGAGTGGAAAGACAAAAAGATAGGGGTAGGACTCTCACGTCTTTGAAAATCTCCACAGTTGGATGGTCTGCTTAGCAAACCTCCTTCCCTCGGAGCGTTGGGTTTGCAGAAAGCTTTATTGTATGTGTGTGTGTGTATGCATGCAACACCCCCCTCCCTCCACCCCCCACACACTAATGGTGCACAAAATTACGGGGGAAACAGCATCCCACCCACATTAGGACGAGCTCAGTATGACTTTAAACAGAAAGATTGGCATTTTGCCAGCCCAGGCCCAGTTCTACCCAGCTGTGTTGTGAGCGGGTTTGAGAGTTCTAGAGTGAGGAATGTACTCGGCTGTAGCGCTGAGGGGCTAAGGTTCCGAACTTGCTAGAGCTCCCTGCCCGGTATAACTTCACTCTCAGAGAGGGTCTGACAAGTGCAATGTCCCACTTGTGTCCACCTTGAAATCTCTGCTGGGAAGACCACTTATCTGATGACCCCTCTCCCTGAGAGATGGGAAACCCACCTGCATTTAGCCAGGGACCGGGGAGAAGAAAGGAAGTCCACAAATACTCAGACAATGCCTCATCACCAGTAACTCCCAGAAAACAGGCACCGCTTCTGGGGAAAGACAGTGGCCATGTGAACACATTGCCCAGACACCCTACTCTAAAGCGGCTCCCAGTGTCCACCTTGATGTGCTCATTGACATTTAGGACGTGTGTGTGTGTGTGTGTGTGTGTGGCTGCTTTTGCACCACTCTGTATCCGTGACAACAAAAGACAAAAATCAACGTAACCGCATCTACATCAATTTCTAGAACAGTTGTTACTAGGGGGCGGGGCAGGGGGTCCTAAATATTTCTGTTCTGTGGTCTATACTTCTGTTTATTCTCTAAGTAGCCTAAGCTATGAAACCGCAGGCTAAGCTAGGAATGGCGCAGGTAAAACAGTGACCTTGAGCTTGACACTCTGGTCACGTGCTTAAGAATGTTGAAATCTCTCCGGGAGCATGAACTGTAGCGTGTCTTGGTTTGCATGAACTAAAAACTGCTTCGTGTTTGGTTCGGATTTCTAAGCATGGTGTTTCTAACATGGTAAACTCTGAGTGCTGTACCCTGTAAGAGCCTGGCTCTTTATCCCTGCTTCCTAAGTCACCCCATTCACCTGTGCAACTCTTCTTTTTCTTTGCTGCACGCTCAGGCCTTAGAAAGGCAGAAAGAGTTCTTTGATTCCATAAGGAGTGAACGGGATGATCTTAGAGACGAAGTAGTCGTGCTGAAAGACAAACTGAAGGTATGGACCCAAGGACAGTTGGGAACAAACCATCCAGGGGTCAGCCGCGAATCCTGATATTTTCCAGAACGGATACGCATGTGTTGTGTGTTGGCAGTTCATTCTGTCTCTGTTGTTGGTCATTGTTCTGTCACCTGATTCGAACCTTAGCTCAGCTGAGAATGAAAGGAAGGGCTCAGCAGGCTCTGCTTGCCCACGCGTGGCCTCTGATGTTTACAGACACTGAAGGCAACCAGGAGTTCTGGGATATTTTATTTTTTTATTTTTATGCCATCTAAATTCATTGGTAAATTCTCCAGGGTGTTACTAAAATGTGGAGTGTGTTTTTTTGTTTGTTTTTTAATCAATCTCAAATTCAAAGATTTCTCTAGCTCAGCAGGGTCTCAGGTAAGTAGTATATGTGCGTCCTGGCGATGCCCAAGCTAATTGAACTTTAAGACACACCGGAGTGTAGGAGGTAGAAAGTTCCCAGTTTTCTCTTGGCCATCCCAAGGGGTCACAATGAGAAGCCAGCAGGCAGCACTGGAGGCCAGAGCTTAGTGTGGGTCCCCAGAGCCCTGAGGAGGCAGTGACAAGCAAAGGTATAACCCTGGGACCCTCTGGAGGAACCCACGGATATGTCTCAGTCCGCTGTGCTCAGAGTCAGAGCTGTAAACACTTAGGGTCCAGGCTGAGATTAAGGCTCGTGCCTCAGGAGAGCCTGCACTTGCTTAAGGACGCTGCTGCAGCCCAGGGCTTGGTGCTGGGGGCTCCTGCAAACACTTAGGAGACAGCTGTGTGCAGGGGAGGAAGGAGGGAGGGGTCAGTAGTGGAGAGTAGGGTCCTTGGGGTCTTAAGCATTGGCCCTCTCTCTATCCCCTACGCTCTGCCCACCATCGTAACCCTTGCTTGAATGCCGTGCTGTTCATTCCTCTCAGGACACACATGTATTTCTGTCATTAACCCATTCTCTCTTTTATAAGAATGGAACCAGGATTAAGCATTGGACTGCTAACCTCAAGGTCAGCTGTTCAGACCCACCAGCCACTCTTTGGGAGAAAGATGAGGCTTTCTACTACTGTAAAATTTACAGCCTCAGAAACACTATGCAGGCTCGCTATGAGTCGGAACCAACGCCATGGTACCCCATCCATCCGTCCATCCATGATTCGGAACCAACTCCTCATGCACAACAACTATTATCATTGCTCTAACCCTTACACTAGTTCAGCGCAGCTTCACTCGGTGAATATTACGACAAGCCTGTTTTTGTTCTCAGAAACATGGAATCATCCTAAACTCAGACACAGCTGCCAATGGAGAGACATCCAGCACGTTTAATAATGTCAGCCACCAGCGTCCCACCAACATGACAGAAGAAGAACTTGGTGCCCTCAAGTTGACAGGAGACCAGCCACTCGGTAAGTGTTTGCGTCCTTTGGGTCTACCCACCCGGCTCCCCTCATGCATCGTTAGAATCAGTCATCACCGCCGGTAGGCTAACAGTCACACAGCATGCCATCTGTCTGTCACTTCGCCCGGTGTGGTATGGCATGCACCCCTCCTGTGCTCACCACCGATGACTTAACGTCCACATTTCTGTCGCTTCTCACAGCTGCTCAGTGAGAACTCAGGGAAGGCAGTGTCAAACCTAAGTGACGTGTTTGACAGTAAACTACATGGCTTGCCTCGGTGAGGTGCCACGTGTGGCCTTTTTAGCGTCTTCTGTTTGAGAGGTGTCCAGAGCACATGCGCTGAAGTGGGCACTGCCTGGCACGGTGGGTTGCGGCCTGAGAGGAGCCGACTCTTTCATGGTGCTGGTCTGAGGGGGTCAGGGAGCACTCAGCGGGGACTGTGATGAGTGCAGGTGAGGCTGTTACAGAGGAGACGCAGAGAATACCTGCCTCTCTGTCAGAGATGGCATCCCCACTGGGTTCTTAACATGATGCTCTTAGAAGGATGTCAGTTGGGAATCCACCAGACTGCAGAAATTGTTTACACCCGTTGAGTTCTCTGGAAAGGCTCCCTGATGAATGTGCCTTTGAGGAGTATCTGTCCTGGTGTCTGGGACCAGCCTTTCGTTTCTGGTGTCCAACTTTTATTTGCAGCCACAAGTTAGTTAGATGCCACTTGCTCTGGCTCCCAGCTGCGTTCAACTTTTTAAAGTAAGGCTGGAGTAAGCCCCCACAACTCTGATTTACACTTTGATAGTTTCATCCTACTTCTTTCTATTCATGGAAATGTAGTAGCTGATAGGTCCCATTTGTCAAGATGTGAGGTCCAGAGAGGCACTGAAGTATCTTTATGACAAGTAAAGAAACGTGGCTTTTCATAGTGTCACGATTGCTGAAAGAAGATCAAGTGATTCATTTCCACCCTACTTTTGTATCTCAGCAGCTAGGGATTTGACCCCGCTGTTCTTATTCAAATGTCCATTTTCATAAACCTATGACAACTATTGGTGAAATGCTTAAAGAACCAGAAATATGCCTTGGAAGAATTTCCAAATGTTTTTAGATCACGTAATCCTGACCTGTAAAAAAGATGGGGACGGTGCCAATGCATATTTTATTTTTAATTTATGTTTTTATGCATATATTAATTTATTCCATTGATATCAGAAGTATATTGTAAGACAGCTACTAGTAGACATTCTCAAAGTTAATTTTTAAAGGGACTGATTTCAAATTAAGTAAAACTAACTCTTAAATAGACTTTCTAATGTTTCCCCATCTTCCCTGGGGAAGATACATCGCCTGTGGAATCCATGAAGCTATAAAATTACCTAACGTGAATTTCAGTAGGGTGGTATTTGATAGAGTTATAGTTGTTAGGAAACCCCACAATGTAACAGTTTATTCCAAAGCAGAAATAGGTTCTTTAATTGATGAACCGTTAATGGTTTCATTGAGTGGTCATATTAATCTTAAGCATTTGTCACCTGCTGGAATTTTTTCCCGTCCCAACTGGATAGAGTAAATCTGTTTAGGGCGCAGGTTCGAGCTGCTGTCTCAGGAAGGCAGACTTCAATTGGGTAGAGACAGGTGGAATTCTTTTCACGTCACACGTACTATTTCAAAATGTTGTCCTTGAGGCTGAGTTTCTTAATGGGAACTGTATTGTCTCTTTTAAAAGCCACTTTGAAGCCCCTGGAGGGCTTTGTGATCACTGGGTTGCCGTTGGACAGCTGAGGAAGCATGAGCAGTTACTATGTACCCCTCAAGATGAGAATGGGGACCCCAAGTCTCTGTCCATTCTGAGACCTCAGCATGATGGATGGTTTTGCTGCTTGATCTGAAACGCTCTGTTATTCCTTGAAACTTAACTTTTCACCTTTTCAAAACAATCCGTGTACGCTAGATGGCGCCAGAGGCCACGCTCTTGCCTTGGCGGTGCCGGTGGTCTTTCTTGCCTCTGGGCGGTGGTGGTGGCCTTTGCTGATGTAATCCGCTAGTGCACCACTGCTCTGCCGCACAGAACTGGCAAAAGCTTCTGTTTCCTGTGGCTCCGGGTGATTCTTTCCCCTTAGGCATGGGTTCAGGTGGGAACTAGGATGTTTGCTAGATGCCATGTGATCACCACGTCATGTGGCCCCTTCCATTTTCTCCATGGTCTTCTAGGCCGAGCCCGTGAAGTGGAGGTGAGAAATGACAGTGTGGCGAAGGTGGGAAAAGGAGGGATCTTACCGGATTCTGAGCAAGAGCCGCACCAAGAGGAGAGAGTGAAGGACTGTTCGGACAGAGAGGGAGTCCATCCTGGTGAGAATTCTGAGGGCCAGGAGACCTCCCAAGGCAAGGCCCCACCCCCGGGCCCACTAGCAGATGTGACCAGTGAGGCCGGTGGTGGGACTGGCATGTCCCCTGAGGAGCCCCAAGGCCTGAGTGATTTAGGCAGTGAAGGCCCAGAGCCCGTGGCAGAGCCACACCGAGGTAGCAACAAGAAGGAAGATTCTGCAGAGAAACAAGACGTTATCGCGACACCCTGTCAGGAGTCTCTGTCTTTGCAGACACCAGGTGAAGGGGCAAGTGATACAGACCCCAGGGGGCAAGGTGGAAGCCCCACAGAGAGTGTGGAAGAGGCAGGGGGAACTAATGTTGGGGAGCAAGTGAGTACAGTGACCTCAAGTCCTCCAAAGTGTAGTGAAGACCCAGTGAATCAAGATGAAAACCACTCAGTGGATGTGTCTGAAGACCCACAAACTGAGTCTAAGTTAAACAAGGAACTCTCCAACCAGAAAGTAGCTGAGCTCAAGGAGGCCCCAACTCAGAGTGTAGATGTAGGTAAGGAGAGCCAGGAAAAAGAAGATGAAACGGAATTAATCGATGAGAAACCCACCCAGCCTGAAGTCCAAGCCAGCCCGTGTTCTCCAGCAGCCAAGAGCGGCCATCGTAAAGCTAGGGGTTCAGGTAAGGTGGATCCTGGAAGCGAACCTTTAGAACTGAAAGAACCCGATGAAGAAAAGAACAGCCTGCAGGGAGAAGTATTGGACTCATCGCAGAAGAAAACAAAGAACAAGAAAAAGAAAAACAAGAAGAAAAAATCACCAGTTCCTGTAGAAAGCCCGCAAGATGACATGGAAGGCTTAACATTTCAGAAGACAGGTTTAAGTGAAGTGAAGGAGGAAGACCAGGTCCAGTTAAGTGATGACAACTCAGCAGGAGAAGCCCAACACAAGGTCACAAAAGATACACAACCGAAAATGGTGCCAGGGAGCAGTGAAGATGTGGAGTGTGCAGAAAGTCCTGAAATTGAGTTGGATGGAATATGTAACCAAGAAGAGGACAGTGTGGAAAGTGTGGAAGGGAATGGAATCGCTGGTGGAGACACGTTAAATGTTGAAGGCCCTGCCGTTCAATCACCAGGCTCTAGCGCTGGTGAGAACGTGCCAGAAGGAAGTGTTACGAAAGATGCCGCTGGGGAACAGCATGCTGGTCAGAGCAGTCCAGCGGACCTAGAGGATGAAGAAGATGAGGACAGGCGGCCCTACGAGGAAATGAGTAATGTCTCCCAAACAGACAGTACAGAGAAGTGTGTGGTGTCGGAACATCCGAGTCAGACAGTTGAGATAGCATTAGAGAACAGTGTAGGAAACTGTGCTTCACCGGCACCCACAGGAGAGCTGGGGGACTTGCAGTTAGAACACAAAGGAGATCCAAGACATGAGAATGAGAAGGGCAGAAGCAAAGAAGACTGTACCATGTCCTGAGCGGAGGCAGCAGCCGAGGCAAGCTGGTAAGCTGGAAGCTTAGAGAGGACCAAGGACTTTGCACAATAGGTTGAGTTGTCATGAGACGCTTGTCTTTTATCTCTGCTGGCAATTTGCAGAAAATGTTCCAAATTGGTATCAAAGTACCAACTACCAAGTATCTCCTCCTTTTCATTGTAAACTGTTACCTGGAGATTTGAATTCCATCTTTAGGGTCAGCACCCAGATTAGAAAGAGATGCCCTGGGGAGCAGCCAGCATTCCAGTGGTGTACCCATTGTTCCTAATCCTGCTTAAAATCCGAGTGAAATTATTGAACGTGTGCCTTAGGCAGTTGTCAGTGTGGATGACCAAACAGATCAGCGTCTAACTGAGAGGACCGAGTCAAATTTGGGGATCTCCACATTGTGTATTTAATTGATGCTTAAATTGATTAGTCTCATTCTGATACAGATCTTTATCATAGTTTATTTTCAGATGTTCTTTATAAACTGTCTGGTGTTATATTTAAAGGAGACAACGGGCCAAATAGAATGTAAGACACTGAATGATGAAATATGTACATTAGCACAATAGTTGATCCTTTTATGGAATATAAGTAAACCATTTCAAGCACAAAGAGATCTTGTTCGCCTATACCTCATACAAGAATATTTTGTTTCAAACCAATACTTTGGGGCCTTATGGTTGACGAGACCTGAATTTATTTTGTAGGAGAGTTTGACACCAGGTCCTGCTGATTATGTACCACATAGATTGTATACAAAGATTCTGAGTTTGTTTTCTCTTTTTTTTCATTCTGGAAAAGACATGTTGAAATTGCATTTCCTATTGCACTGAAATATTTGGGCAGAACCAACTCATTTTTAAAATGGATTTTTTTTTTTCTAGCAGAAAATTCTTCTCTTTCTGTTTGGGTGTCTAATCGTGGTTCAGAAGAGCCTTACGAAAGGTTACTGATCTTGCTAATGAGACTAGAACAGGATCTTCAAAAAAATAGGTGAATCCTGTTTGATATTTTGTTATCAATGTTTCCATGTGCTGTTTTTTGGTGTATTATTACTGGAAAATCCTTGTCCTAATCTGCCCGAAGGAACTGTGTATTTTTCTATAGAAAGAAACATTTGGCAGAATAATTGTGAAATATTAAAATCACAAGGGAATGTACGTCATGAACAGTGCTTTTCATTTAATGAAATGGTGTGAGCTCATGTTA